AAGATTGGAAAGCTAAACCTTAACCAAAATTATAGATTTTAAAAGGTGCATAATTTTGTCACAATAATTTTCTGCACAATAACCTAAAAGAAGAGACCGTGATCATATACAATTATTACAGTCATTTTCAATGCAATATTATTATCAGATAGTGTTCAGTGAAACGTCAGATGGTACAAGAAATTGACAAAGATAATTATAAGTGCCAACATTTAGGCATATGTGAATGCCAGTGTGTGTAGGCCAGTGTGTGTATGACAGCTTTCCCTATTTCTCTCATAGTCAAGCTAAAAACTCTGAGAAAAATATCAGCTAATTTGATCCCAATTTTACTTTGTCATCAGACTTAATGTTGTTACTGAATAACCAGACATATTTTATTGATGTTGATGGAAAATAGAAAATAAAACAAAGGTAAAACATACTTTACCAACAAGTTAAAAACAGAGTTATTTTTCAAGTTTGACAGTTTAATGGCAAAATCTTAAAAGATAAAGTCCCTTTCTATTACCACATAAGTGGATATTTATGAGTCACAAAAATTTGTTATTTATTTTTTGAAATATACATTGTTAGTTTGACATGATCACACATTTCTTTGTCATAATTTGAAACATTTTGTTATATAAATAACCTATTGTGATACTAACACATATATTGTTTTGATGTATTAAGACCAAATTTAAACCAACAAGCAATGAGAAAATAAATCTCACTACCTGAACAGTCAAACATGTCCATGTTAGATGCTGTATGAAAACGTGTTTTCAAATGAAAGAAGAAAAATTGCCAAAAAAAGAAAAATATTTTGCACGATCAAATATTTGCGAATAATTTCATTTCGCAAAAATCACAAATAATTCCTTGTCGCAAAATTAACCACTTATACAGTACTTAAAAAATGAGGCAAACATATTCATTATCTTGTGGGGATCTAATTTCAAAGGGTTTCACTCATTTTTATATTCTATTCAATTTACAAAGTAAAGGTATCATTTTCAATCAGAACACTAAAGTGACACAGGGCTCAGCTGCTTAGCAAGAATTATGCAATGAAAACAACATAAAGCTAACTTATTGTCTATTATTGTTTTGCTTTGTCTGACACTAATGTGTATTTCAATGTGAAATAATTGTTTACTAATCAGTTTCTAAAATAAATGCATTTTATAAACACATTTAAAGTGCTCTGAAGATGCCTGTTAGTTAAAATCCAATAACAATTCCACAAACAAATCAAAAATAGAAAAACAAAATATCATGCAATATGCTACTGGCATTACATTTAGAGATCTTTTAAGCAGTTTCTACAACTGTTAATTTACCGTACCATTAAAAGTTGCACAACCAGATGTGACATCTCAATAATAATTGAAACAGAAACAATTCCTTTAAAAATAGCATCTAGGAATGTACTTTTATGCATTCTTACTATTCTTTCAGGTGAGAATGAATGGGAGAAAAAACTAAACACAGAAGATCACAAAATCATTACCTGAATATTGTCATTTATTAACCATTTGTTTGCAGTAAAGAGCAGTAAACACATTCTACGAATAGTATCATCTACTTGCATTATAACACAGATGGATAGGTAAAACCTAGATTCAATCACAGATTATTAAAAACTGATTTATTTCATTGATTTATTTTTCTATTTATTTATCAAAACTGACATTAAAGTTTAAACATTTTATTCCTGAATATCGCCTGGTGTTTCCTTTAGTTTTACCCATGTCCGAGTTGCATGCTATCCAATGCCATCATTTTACCGCATTTTATAATTTAACAGTGTGAAAAAAAAGGACATAATTTTTTGCGTATTTAAGAAGGAAACTGCATGCCTAGGATGACATTTCGCTGTTATTAATGAACTTATTAATTTGTATGCTTTTGTAAGAAAATAGTTACAGATGAAAAACTGCCTCCGTGGTCGAGGGGTTACAGTCGATGACTTCTAATCCAGTTACCTCTCTGGCGTGGGTTCGATCCCTGGGAGATACTTTGGTAGTTTAGCGCAGAGGAAGGTAGTCTAGTACTCTCCAGGAACGATGGTTAGGAAACTACCCGCCTATATGACTGAAATACTATTTATGCAAGACAGTCAGGTTTTAAGAAACTTATTAACAATATAGTTTGGCAGTAAAATTATATAGAGGATATTTGTTTGTGTGTAAGATAAAATTTTATTTCATCGAGTGGGCTTTAAAAACAGTATTAGCACGAGTGCGTAGCAAATAGTGAGACTACTGTTTTTAAAGTTCACGAGATGAAATAAAATTACATCTTACACAACAAACAAACAAATTTTCTTTTTATCTTATGCTAAAAAAACAAGTAAAAACGAAATTTCCTGAATATTAACATTAATATTTAAATCTGTTTTCCCCATTGTGAGCTTCATTTAGTCGATTTTCTCATTAAATACAACAAGTCTTGGGCTGAAAAATAAGTTCGACAATCAACGTTAAATGGAGGTGATATTATTCATTTTATTAAAAAAAAAATGAATGATTGCTTGTTTTAATAATAAAAACTAACAATTATAGTAGGAGAAAAAGTCCAACCATCCATCCATATTTCTGTTACTGCGAATTTATATTAGACCTGGCTTTGTGAAATGTAAGCGGCCGCCATTTTTAAAAGTCGTGTATTTCACTGGAGGAAAGTTAACTGTGTTTGATTTAGAGGGATATCATTTGGATTTGTTAGTCATACACCTTTTTAAAAGAAAGAAAACTTATTTGAGGATTGTAACAGACAATAAATAAGAGTTGACAGATGTGTAACCATTAAAAAAGCGGCTAGGAAATTGGAAAACTTGGAATTCTTACGAATGCTGGGTTGTTTACTTATTCTTTGGGCTGATGGCTGTCATTGCTTTTCAAGTTTTCATAAAGCATGCGGCAGTTATTGCTCGAAGGATACTTAAATATGAACAAATGTCATCAAGAGAATTTTTGCATGTGGAAGGAATGTATTTTTCAGACTGTAAAAATGAAACAATAAAATTAGAGACAATATTTGGTGATTGGTAATTTGAATGGAAAGAAGTAAGTTTTCTTCTTTTTATTAATTTGACATTCAAGTTATTTATCAATTTCAGCTTTGCTTTTCTCTAAACATTGTCAGAATTGTGAGCAAAAATAAAATTGAGGTACCACATGGAGAAAATCTTAAACAAGAAACATGGCAATGCCATGAAACCAGGTTTTCAATTATCACCATTGTAGATAAATATGTTGTATTTGAAATACAAATACAAGCAACAAACAATGTAACTATGTGCAATGTAAAACATGAATAATGTAGGAGGAATTGCCACTGAAGAAGTGTTCACTATAATATTATGTATAAGGAAAAAAACAAAGGGCCATAATTAGGTCAAAAACTATCCAATCACAAAACCCCGACAATATGTGCCAGGGTGCTTGATGACAAAGCTTCTGTGAAAGTTTGAACAAAATCCGTTGAGAAATGTAGGACGAGTTCAGCACAGAAGAATTTGTTCACTATAATTATATTGATAATTCTGTATAATGAAAAACAAGTTACAAAGTAGACATGAAATAATATATCATATCTTTTTTAAATTACCTCCAAAGATGATATGACCTTTGACTGCCAAATCAAGTTAAAATCATGTAAACAGGATTTTCAATGTTAATGTCACTGTGACCTTGACCTTGGAGCCAGCCATCTTGATGTGGTAAACATTTGTCTGAAGTTTCATCAAAATTCTTCAAAGGGTTGAAGAGTTACAGAGCGGACAGGATTTTCAATGTTAATGTCACTGTGACCTTGACCTTGGAGCCAGCCATGCGGAACATGCGTTCTGCACGTCATCTTGATGTGGTAAACATTTGTCTGAAGTTTCATCAAAATTCTTCAAAGGGTTGAAGAGTTACAGAGCGGACACAATTTCGTTTGACGCCCGCCCGCCCATCCGCCCATCCGCCCGCCATACCCCAATCTAATAACCAGGATTTTCAAAATTGAAAACCTGGTTAAAAAGTAATTTCGTCATTGAAAAGTGTGAAATTATATTTTGATAATTTTCACTGTGAAATTATCAAATATAATTTTCACGGCTAAATCAGTAATCCACTGAAAAGAATAAAATTATATCTATCAAACCAACTTTTCCTTTTAATGAAATAACAGAGCAAACACTTCACACATGTCAGACATTCAGTTGTTTGTAGCTTATTTTAACAATGTACTGTTGTTTTGCATGGCCACAAGAATGCATGCAAGATTATTACATTTGTTGGTGACAAGTTAAAATGAGATCTAAATTAACACGACAATATGCTCGTCTTTTCCTGGCTTTTGTCCTCCGAGAGAACACATAAAACCAATAATATCACTTTGAGAGACAAGTTGAGGCAAGTTTATACCTTCCTTGAAGGCATTTATTCATATACAGCTTCTGCTGAAACAATATTTGCAACCTAGAGAATATTACGCAGTGAATGTTGCTGACTGCGTAATAGTAACTAAAATGTAAATTTACAAAACTTAGCACTCCTTGTAAGATGAATTTGCTATTTTCAGTGTTGTAAAAAATGGAGAATATCTTTGTTTTGCAGGAAAATATTACATTAAATCCATTCTTAGAAAATTCATACTTTTTCTGAAAAAATGTAGAATATCAAACACAATAATGTTGAATATGGAATAAAGCAGAACAAGAAAATTCCAGAACCTATATGAACCAGAAATATTATCCATACACAAACAGAGATACAGAAGATTCAATACAAACCGTAACTTAAAAAATCTTAAGGAAAAAATATGGCACATGTTCAACCAATTTTTCTTCATTTTCACATTGAAGATTGCTTATGCTTTCACATGGAGCCATATTTTCGTCATGTACAGAATGGATTGTGTACAAAACTGGTCAAAAAACACAATGTTTTGACTGAAAAGTCTTCATCAGGTATCTGGTCTTAATTTAATATTAGACATTTGCAGTATCATTAAAGGTTTTATGGGGAAATATAAGAGTATCAGACTGAGACTTTAACTACTGCTATATTGTACAAACCTTGACTGGTACCATGGGGCTGTATATTGTCTTCATAATGAACACCATCAGTCTCTATATGCTGCTTGAAGTTCTTCCATCGTGTGTCCTTTGTTGGGTCTACCATACAAACCTATTGTAAATTATAGCCTATTTTACTTACTTATCTATCGGCATTTTCAATGCGCGTAATACATATTGCAAAATCAGTCATTAATTTTTTCCCAAGTTTTAATTTCTTGAAAACTGTTGGCTAATCTTGAGACTTTGTTTGTTTGTTTCATTTAACGCCTTTTCCCAACAGTATTTCAGTCATATAGGCGGGTCCTTTCCTAACCATCGTTCCTAGAGAGTTACACCAGTACTAGACTACCTTCCTCCGCGCTAAACTACCAAAGCATCTCCCGAGGATCGAACCCACAATAGAGAGGTAATTGGATAAGACATGGAGCTTTAACACACAAGGACAAAAGGTAAATATGGGACATGTAGGTAAACTGTACAAATTTCCTATCAAGCTAATATAACAAGCAGTCTGAATAGATATATCTGACCATAAAAACAATGGTAGACCTGCCTACAGGTGAAGTTATGAAAATCTAACTTAACTATCTTTTTATCAGCAATCAACTAACTGTTACTGATACTTACACAATGATGAACAGTCTCTGGAACAGAATCTTGTCCCTTTAGATCTATCCATGTTGGGAAGTACATCAATCTCTCCTGCAAACAATAATCTAAATATATGATAACAATACCATAAATATACTAAACAAATATTCTTTTCTACTGTTAGCCAAGAGATGGCTGAAGATATAATATATTCCTTGAGGTAGACACTAGCATGATCCTTTTCTAATATGCAATTCTTCACAAACTTTCACTTGTATTTGTCAAATTGTTTCTTTTATTATCATTTCAGGTTTACCATAGTTTCTCAAATATAAAATAGAGAGTAATGATAGCACTCAATCCCTCATCAGTGTTTATTCAAACATACATACATTCTCACAAAAAAAGGATAAAATCCAAAGATCTAAAACATTGCAAGGTTTCGCATGACCTACTTTTGATTCAATGTAACCAAAATTTAACTTTGTCAAAACTTTCAACGAGTCATAAATTCTGAACAAGTTAAATGAGTAATTCAAGAAAACTGTGACCTAGTCTTTCCATTCATTTGACCTTCTTTTTTACCCAAACTAAACAATATTCATGAAGACAATTAAGGCAAGATTTGATGAAGATCAAATAATAATTATATCCTTTAGAATGTTAACAAAGGTTTTCTTTGATTTGACCTGGTGAACTAGTTCTAGACCCAATGTCACCTATATTTAATCTTGTGAGATGAATCTTTCAAGGTATTCTGGAGATCAGATAAAAATTGTGACTTCTAGAATGTTAACAAGGTTTTTCTTTGATCTGACCTGATGAACAACAATATCTGTAAGCGTATTTATAAAGTTTGATGCCATGAACATCATTTTTGGCTTTACAAAAAAGTATATAGAATAATATCATTGGTTTAAACATATTTCTTTAAGCTCGGTTGCGAAACAAGTTCTTGCAACTTATATTAATCACTTTCGAGTCCGCTTCCTGGAACAAACAAGTACTGGTGGGTTATGAAGACACATGGTCGTGACCTGAGAAGGGCTCGAACCCATGATCTCTGGGTTGAGAGGCAGACACCTTAACCACTAGGCCACCGCTCCCCTTTAAATATCATTAGTGCATTTTTCATAAAAAAGTACTTTATTCAGTGTATTATTTTAAGTAAATCCCTTGTCTTCCCAGAATATAAACTACATGCACCAGTTAATGATCAGTACAGTAGTGTATTGTTGGATTGGAATGTAGAGCTGAGTATCTTTTTTAAATGACATAACAAGGACATATTTTCCTGGCACCTAAAAATGACATTTTTCAACTGAGAACTATTTTTAATGTATTAATGAATAATCATCCAAAATCTGAAAATCACCTTCCATTGGTACTGTAAGTGTTTTGATTTAATATTGGTACTTTTGTGAATACACAACATAAAATATGAGGATTGCACTGCACTTGGGCTTCCAGATAAAACTTTTGAAATTCTTTATTCTTATATAGATTTAACTTTTCTATATACAGTCAAACGTGTATTAAGCGACCGTGCAAGGGAAACACCAAAAACGGTCGCTTAATGAAACGGTCTCTTAAGACAGTCAGCATGATATAAAAGTCAAAATTTATAAATGACATCTTTTTTATTCGATGGGATTGTTTTTCAAATTCATTTTTATATAAATGTTGAATAATAAGTACGCTCCGATAATCTAAACGGATGCAAATGTAAAAATAACGTTCTGATATTTATTGACAAAACAGTTTTGATCCATTACGTACATGTTTGACATTTTTTCCAGAATTTTTTAACTTCTCCGTTGTTTTTCCTTGTCTCCAACACTAAAACCCTATTATGGAAGATGTTTTCTGCTGTGCATTTTTTCATTTGAAATAAACAAACTACATCTATTTGTTACGATTAATTTAATGGTGGATCAAGTTCAAGGTCAATTCAATGCAGTCTAAATGTCAACAAGCGAAGCGTATACACCATCTCAGTATGGGCGGAGCGTTGCATTGTTTATCCGATATTATTGGATAATACACGTCACGCGTATACTTAACTTCATTTGCATACGCTAAAACGGTATGGGAAATAGAGTTTTTCACACGTTTATTGTTGTGTTTTGATTGCTGACACTTGTGACATAACGAGGTGGCGTTCTCTAAAAACACAATTACTTAACAGGTAAAAGTGGTCGTTTAATGAAAAGATTGATGTCAATTAGGTGACTAATTAGCGGTCGCTGGTCGCGTTGAGCAAAAGTCGCTTAATACATTAAAGATATAGAGAGAAAATGATCGGGGGGAATTTAAAGTGGTCGTTTAAGACAAAAGTCGCTTAATACACGTGGTCGCATGGGCAAGTTAGACTGTATCTGACACTGACAGAGTAGTGAAGGAAATAAAACCTATATTTCTACTTAACTTGCAATCAACAGAAATTAGAAAAAGATATTATACTTGAAAATCTTTTTTTCCATTAAAGATCCCATAGTAACGTCTCTAGGTTTGTTTCCTCAAAATCTCTTATGGAAGTCTAACAAAAGCCAGCATAATGGGACTCCTAAATTTATTTCCTTCCCCCCATAATTAATGACATTTTGTTTTTATTTGTTAAGATTTCATCTGAACATCAAATGCCAAGGTTACCAATCGGCACATTTCTAAAATCAATTAAGAAAAAAAAAACCACCAAACTTCTCACCACATTATTTCAGGAAGATAAATGTATGTTCTCTATGGTAGAATAATTCTTGTCCTATAAACTAGCTACAAATCTCCCTAACATAACAGATTTTCACTTCCAAAAACCTAACATGTTGCAAGTATTTTAAGTGGATGGTGGATTAAAGTATGTTAGCTGTTAATCACTACATGCTATTAAGGCCATAAAAGGAAAATGCCAAGAATGCTCTCAACTTTATAAGACTATCTAGACCTCTAGTCTCAAGAATTGTAATACCATTAATCATATCTATTCACTAAATTAAATATAGAGATATATATATATATATAATTATATCATTAGCTCTGACATTTCTGCACTAATGTTAAGTTGTGTTGAATTAAGCTCAAGTTTTCAACAGTGGTTAATGAACTATATGTACCAGTAGATAAGCACCTATCAGATATACTTATATTTTGTACCAGTAATATGGTATCTTATAAAAGCCTGTAACTAAACTTCTAACATAAATAATCTGATTCAGAGTTTGAAGACAAATAAAATTAGTACACAAACTGTGGCCAACAAAATCGTAAAAGAAAAATAATGCAAAATTTGGCTATATCAGGTCTCCAAGTCCCCTCCCTAATGACTTCATCAAGCAGCATTAATCAAAGGGCTGCAGCTCTATGGTATTTTCTGATTTTTGCAATCTAAATCATACTGACTATCTGTATGTACTTTCCTGTATAAGTTTATTTTTATATACTATAATTCATCTTACGCAGCGACAGCGTTTTGATTTTCTTCTATAACAGTTTGAGATTGATACATATGGAATTTTGCATGAAAAAAATAGAATTGCCTCGACTAGGATTTGAACCATAGGCCTCTCACACCTTCAACGAGACCGCTTACCTCTGCACCACGGCGAAGTTATACATATGTACCTTGAATAAAAACGAATACATTATGTAATTCTAAATTGAGAATTTCCATTTCGTGTTTGTAATCCTTATTAATTTCGAGGTATTTTGTTCACGATAAACCTGTTGTTTAACACTGATGAAAACTAGAACTGCCACTATCATGGCGTGAATACCCCCGCATACCACTTTGTCAGAATCAACAGTGGCCATTTAGAGCTCAAGGACAACCTCCCTGCCAAATCTGAGGTTACTAAGCCATTACATTGCTAAGTTATGTATTCTACATGCTTCAAATGTGAAAATGTCAAAATCAATACATTGCGGACAGGACATTCTTTAGCAATTGAGAAGAAAAGCTTTTTTTTTTTTGTCAAGGTCCCTGTGACCTTGACCTTTGACCCAGTGACCTCAAAATCAATAGGGGTCACCTTATTGTCATGATCATCATCCATGCCAAATATGAAGACTGTGGGTCAAAGGAATCTTAAGTTAATGGGTGGACAAACTTTTTGAAGTCGAAGTCCCTATGACCTTGACCTTTGATCCAGTGACCTCAAAATCAAAAAGGGGTCATCTACTAATCATGATCAACATCCATGCCAAATATGAAGACTGTGGGTCAAATATAAAATAGAGAGTAATGATAGCACTCAATCACTCATCAGTGTTTATTCAAGCCCAAGTTTTAAACAGTGGTTAATGAACTATAATGTACCAGTAGATAAGCACCCATCAGATATACTTATATTTTGTACCAGTAATATGGTATCTTATAAAAGCCTGTAACTAAACTTCTAACATAAATAATCTGATTCAGAGTTTGAAGACAAATAAAATTAGTACACAAACTGTGGCCAACAAAATCGTCAAAGAAAAATAATGCAAAATTTGGCTATATCAGGTCTCCAAGTCCCCTCCCTAATGACTTCATCAAGCAGCATTAATCAAAGGGCTGCAGCTCTATGGTATTTTCTGATTTTTGCAATCTAAATCATACTGACTATCTGTATGTACTTTCCTGTATAAGTTTATTTTTATATACTATAATTCATCTTACGCAGCGACAGCGTTTTGATTTTCTTCTATAACAGTTTGAGATTGATACATATGGAATTTTGCATGAAAAAAATAGAATTGCCTCGACTAGGATTTGAACCATAGGCCTCTCACACCTTCAACGAGACCGCTTACCTCTGCACCACGGCGAATTATACATATGTACCTTGAATAAAAACGAATACATTATGTAATTCTAAATTGAGAATTTCCATTTCGTGTTTGTAATCCTTATTAATTTCGAGGTATTTTGTTCACGATAAACCTGTTGTTTAACACTGATGAAAACTAGAACTGCCACTATCATGGCGTGAATACCCCCGCATACCACTTTGTCAGAATCAACAGTGGCCATTTAGAGCTCAAGGACAACCTCCCTGCCAAATCTGAGGTTACTAAGCCATTACATTGCTAAGTTATGTATTCTACATGCTTCAAATGTGAAAATGTCAAAATCAATACATTGCGGACAGGACATTCTTTAGCAATTGAGAAGAAAAGCTTTTTTTTTTGTCAAGGTCCCTGTGACCTTGACCTTTGACCCAGTGACCTCAAAATCAATAGGGGTCACCTTATTGTCATGATCATCATCCATGCCAAATATGAAGACTGTGGGTCAAAGGAATCTTAAGTTAATGGGTGGACAAACTTTTTGAAGTCGAAGTCCCTATGACCTTGACCTTTGATCCAGTGACCTCAAAATCAAAAAGGGGTCATCTACTAATCATGATCAACATCCATGCCAAATATGAAGACTGTGGGTCAAAGGAATATAAAGTTATTGGGCAGACAAATTTTTTGAAGTCAAAGTCCCTGTGACCTTGACCTTTGACCTGGTGACCTCAAAATCAATAGGGGTCATCTACTAATCATGACTAACCTCCATGCCAAATATGAAGACTATGGGTCAAAGGAATCTTAAGTTATAGGGCGGACAAGCTTTTTGAAGTCAAGGCCCCTGTGACCTTGACCTTTGACCTAGTGACCTCAAAATCAATAGGGGTCATCTACTAATCATGACTAACCTCCATGCCAAATATGACGACTGTAGGTCAAAGGAATCTTAAGTTATTGTGCCGGACGGACAAGCTGATTCCAGTATACCCCCCTTACAACTTTGTTGTGCGGGGGTATAATAATTTAGTGAAAATCTTCTCGTCAAAACAGTCCGACATGTATATATTCCACTACTCGACAGTCAGATTTATTTGTGTACTACGCTCTGGAGTATTCGGTAATCGACATAGCTAAAAACAGCATTTTCATTGACTAAAATGATATTCGCTTTACGGAAATAGCCGAACATTTTTCATTGGGTAAAAAAGATATTCATCCGCGAAATTTGTGATTGTAACCTCATATTTCTGTTGACTAATCTAAACTTTTAATGCACTGTAATTCGTTAAATGCCTACATTAAAAATTATTCTTTCTTTTAAATTGCTGGTTTTTAAGCAGTTTTGAGTGAGAACTACTTTGCGTTGTTAGGACTGTTAGGAAATTTTGTGTTAGACCGTGGATGTTAGCTATGTATTTACTGATCTTACGATCAGAAAATACAAAAAAGCAATAAAAACATACAGCCATCTTCTTGACATCGAATGAGTGGAGTGTAGCTGAGCAAACAACCATCTGTAAACGTTTGCCGTCGTTTGTAACCTTTGGTATCTGGGCATGTAGACGATTTATCAGATCTGTATAGCCTTGACTTAACAATCCATCCTGAAGTATATAATATTTCATATTAAAACATCATAAAATTTGTGTAGGTTGGTTGTTACATCTCAAATTATAATAAAATTACTATTCAGTTTCATGTGTCAGTTTCTTATCAAAAGCAAATCAAGTAACTGTATACTTGAAAGCTTAGAAATATATATGATATCAAAGGATATCGTTTTATCATAGTGTCATGGTTTAACTGCTGTGTCTTAACATGTCATTGCTCCAACAAAATCAAGAGTCTCAAGAGGGCCATCATAGCCCTGGGTTTACCTATTTTTTAGCTCTATAAAGATTTGCAAAGTTTTCTTATAGGAATACACATCTCCCCATCCTTGTGGACCTAATTTTGAATGCTTTCTCATGAATCAAAATTATTTTAAAATTATTTGTAGACAATAAAGTATAAGAATTACAACCAAAAATCAAAATATATATGTATAACAGATTAGATCTATATATAGTTTTAAACCTTGGCAAAAGTGATCCTGCTTTTCTACACATGGTTCATTATTAACTTTTACCTCATATAGGCGTGTTTTGACGGTTTTTCCCCCCCCCCCCCCTTTTTGAGGAATTAAATAGTGAAATAGTCGTATTTGGCCCCAAACACTTGTTTTTTTGTTTGAGAATTGTTGTTCAAAACAATGATCACTTTTTCGGCGCCGCACCCTATCAAAAAGGTACATCAAGGGGGTGCTAGGAGGGTGATGTGCCCCCTTCTATTTGGGGGGTTTGAAGGAGGGCAGTAGCCTTTGTTTCTATCTTCTATCATCCATTAAGATGTTGCAGAGCTTTGAAATCAGTTTTTGATGGAAAAAACAACCCAAAATAGTGATTTTTGGCAATTTTGAGACATTGCCATGGTAATAGGAAATTTAAGACTGAGTATGCTGTTACAGAGGCTATGGTCCAGTCAATATTTGTGCCAAGTTTGATCAGTATTGAAGCATTTTTTATAGTTTCATAGCAGTTTCAACTTGTAGCTGGAGGTTTTTCAATGAAAACAGCCATTTTTCACAATATGCTCTGATGCAGTAAAAGGTAAATTTGAGGTCTGATATAGTATTATGATGGATTCTCAGATGTATGAGAAACAAGAGTTAAATACCACTTTGAAGTGGTAAGAAACTAAAAGCAGAATGTCAAAAAATATGGAACAGCAGCCACAAGAACAGCAAGGTATTTCAATTCCTGGTTTGATCCTGTTGGAGACTGTTCTTATTCCACCATGAAAATATTGTCATTTGATTTATTTGTTATAAAAGCTCCTCTAAACTAAAGTCTAAATGTACCTCCTAAGACATATCAAAACAATCAAATTACATCTATTCATTGTTTTCATATAAGGGAGATTTGGGGGGGGGGGGTTGACCCAACCCCCAAAGACATTATTATGAATCCACTTTATAACCGTGATAGCTATGTCCTTGCATCAATAGATTGTCTATGTTGGCTTGACAAACTTTATTTATTTAATTCATTAAATATTCAGTCTGCTTCTTTAATTAAATCATGTTCTAAGTTTTAATGAAAAATAGCATTTATTTTGGAAGCATTGATCTAAACAATAATTGTTTAATTAAAGTACTGACATGATGACAATGCAAGATTCTTTCTCTTTTTGATTTATAGGAAAATGCCTATGTACATATTATTTAATATTTCCTACAATTACACTTTATGCTGAAATGGCTTTCTGTCAAATCATTGTTCACTAATTAAGGTAAAAATGCCACAGCTGTTTAGCACTGAGTGAGACATTTTTAAAAAGAACGCAAGACCAAACATTACGTGACAAGACAAGGCTAAATCTGTACTTATTTATTAGTACTTTTTTATCATAATCAAAAAGCACTCACATTCCCAGTAGTATTTTCTCGTTAGATTACTATAAATGGAGAAGTATAAAAGCATGCAGATCTATTTTGGTATAATTTGATGTCAAATTATGTCACAGACTATGTCATTACAGCAACATTTATAGTAAGTCTTCTATAGATTAAGAAACCTACACATTTCCAAGACGATAAATATAAAGTTTAGGAATAATTACAAACAGACTTCGCTATCTATTACAGAAACCTGTGATTAAATGAATATATGTTGTTGGGTTTCTTTCATCAAGTTTTCTAAGAATCAATTAGGAAACAAATAATTGCAAATATGAAACTGATGAAATATGATATAAATTTATCTGTAAATATAAATATACTGATGTAATGTACGACGTGTAGAATCTTATCATTATCGTTTAATTATAATACTATATCTAGAACTTCAATCTCATTTTAAATTGTTTATTTAACTATAACTGAAACTAGAAATGTGTCCATAGGACACGGATGCCCCCACAGGCCACTGTTCTGTCAATCTTATGACTCTAGGTCAAATATTTTTTGGACTACATGTGCCACAAGTTGAAAACTAAAAGGGCCATAATTCTGTTAAATTTGGTTGCAGCAAAAATTCCTTCCTTTACTACCATCTACACATTAAGGTTGTTCATCCCTGAAAGTTTAAGCAAAATCTGCCATCCGGTTTAAGAGGAGTTGCGTTCACAAAATTTCTACATAGTATATAGTGAAAAAATCAACAAAGGGCCATAATTCTGTTAAATTTGGTCGCAGCAAAAATTCCTTCCTTTACTACCATCTACACATTAAGGTTGTTCATCCCTGGAAGTTTAAGCAAAATCTGCCATCCGGTTTAAGAGGAGTTGTGTTCACAAAATTTCTACATAGTATATAGTGAAAAAATCAACAAAGGGCCATAATTCTGTTAAATTTGGTCACAGCAAAAATTCCTTCCTTTACTACCATCTACACATTAAGGTTGTTCATCCCTGGAAGTTTAAGCAAAATCTGCCATCCGGTTTAAGAGGAGTTGCGTTCACAAAATTTCTACATAGTATATAGTGAAAAAAATCAACAAAGGGCCATAATTCTGTTAAATTTGGTCGCAGCAAAAATTCCTTCCTTAACTACCATCTACACATTAAGGTTGTTCATCCCTGGAAGTTTAAGCAAAATCTGCCATCCGGTTTAAGAGGAGTTGCGTTCACAAGATTTCGGGACGTACGGACGGACGTACGGACGGACACTCGGACGGACAAGTGCAATGCTATATGCTCCCACTCTGTGGGGGCATAAAAATCTAAATAAAGTTATTTGATAAGCAGACTTAATACACCGGTCACATATTCACGGAATACGCCCACGGAAGAGCCACGGATTAATTCCGGCATCGTCCGTAGCTACCCGTACTGGTCAGTAGCTCTCCGTATTGTAACCGTAATCAATCGTAGTAGTCCTTGTATATCCGTAGCGATCCTTGACAATTTTTGAACATGCACACAAATTTGCTACGGAAAAATCAACCGTAGCATATCCCTACTAGTCCGTATTAATCCGTACTGATACGTACTGGTCCGTACGAAAACCGTAATAGTCCGTACTGATTCGTAGTCCACCAACTTGTCAAGGATTTCCACGGTTTGGTACGGAGAACTACGTATGTGTACGGTTACCCTACGCATAAGCTACGGTTTTAATACCGATTAATACGGCATTGTCACGGAAAGCAACGATCGTAATACGTTGTACTACGGAGAGGCAAGGATTAGCACGGTCTTATACGGTTTATTGCGTCGCAACACGAAACGGTACGGAATGGTACGGCCCACCACTGTTTAGTACGGATGAATTAAGTATCATGTACTTTTTCAAGGGTATAAATACTACCTACTTGTTAAAAACAGACATATATATTTGCAGGAACATTTAATAAATGATAATTGCCATTTACTGGCTGCAACTTTATATTGAAATGGCTCAGAATGCGGAGGCAGTTGTCGAGCTGCTTAATGACATGCATAGAAGTAAATTTATATTAATATCGTACTACAATTCATAAGAAATAGAATAACATTTAATGTTACATATTTTACATACATTGAATCGTGAAAATGGAGTAAATATGTACATAAAACGAAGTGTCTCATAAGCTTTGGACACTGGCCATTGAGTGATAATAAGATTAATTAACAAGCTTTCTTACATATTTTTAAAACATAAACATCACGATAATTAATGTAATTGTAAGATGAACAGCAAATCTTAAAATTAAAAGAGAAGCAGTATTGATCAACATTTTCATTGATGATTACTAGTCCATATCTAATCAGGTAAGAGAAGACAGACCAGATGGTGGACTAGAGCTGGGCTTTTACGATGACCGCTTCATGTTTAGTATGAGGCTCTCATAGCCGAACTTGTTTAGCATCCAGCGTCCTTCAAGAAATTCACTTTAATTGGACCTGATGTGTCTCGGGGGTTCGGACGCGATTAGGCTGAATCCTCTCCGCCAAAATCATTGAACTCTGCAATTCGTTTTCTAGGTGTTCTTTTCTTTTGAGGCATTTTGAAAATGAGCAAGCAAGAGGTTGTGGACGAATGTATTAGGTCCGTATAGATCCGTGGCAATGCGTTCTTCTCCGTATCAATACGTTCTTCTCCGTATCAAACCGTACTTATTCGTACTACCCCGTGCTTATATCGTAGCAGACCGTAGTGTATCCGTAGTGCGTCCGTCCTGATTCGTGTCGCTCCGTATCAAACCGTGTCGGTCCGTAACAATCCGTGTCTCTCCGGGGGCTTTTGGTGGTAAATCCGTCGGACTCCGTACTCATACCGTTGTGTGTCCGTACTGGAACCGTAGCGGACTACGGAATTTCACATTTCCGTAGTAATCCGTGAACGATTAGACCGTAGCTCTTCCGTGGCATTATCCGTGAATATGTGACCGGGGCATAATGAAGAAACTAATGAAATATTTTTTGATTATATTGAGACAACATAGTGAATGTTGGAATGGACAAAGTTTATATACGGTAAGCGAGAATTAGTGTATCTTGGCGAGCTTTAACGAGCCAGGTTTATACGGTAATTGAGAGTTAGTGTATCTTGGCGAGCTTTAACGAGCCAGGTTTATACGGTAAGCGAGAATTAGTGTATCTTGGCGAGCTTTGACGGGCCAGGTTTATACGGTAAGCGAGAATTAGTGTATCTTGGCAAGCTTTAACGAGCCAGGTTTATACGGTAAGCGAGAATTAGTGTATCTTGGCGAGCTTTGACGAGCCAGGTTTATACGGTAAACGAGAATTAGTGTATCTTGGCAAGCTTTAATGAGCCATAATATTCACTTTCACAGCAAACCAGATAAACCATTTCCCATTCTGACAACAACCATGTTTTTGATTTATCCTGCAATTGTCTAATTTAATCATGTTTTTAGATTTTTTAAATGGTTTCATTCTTACTTCTTCCCAAATAAAACAGTGTTTACATGTATGTTTTCTTTGCAGCTAACCATGTGACATCATCACATGCTAACCATGTGACGTAGTGACTGGAGATATTTAAGTTTATCTGGTACTAAGGCTTTAATTTATCAAGCTGATAATATAGACAGTAGCAGGATAAATTTATGTATGCTCAAGCTTTTCTAATATCAACAGTTTAGGTACCGGTACCTTTTTACTGGTTTTCATGTTAGATTGTTGATATTTTGGAAACAAGAAAATCTCTGTTTTTCTAGAAATAAACTATTGTTTCACAACAACTTGTAGTAAAAAATAATTTGAGTCACGTCACGACAAAACCAACATAATGGGTTTGCGACCAGCATGGATCCAGACCAGCTTGCGCATCCACGCATTCTGATCAGGATCCATGCTGTTCGCTATCAGTTTCTGTACTTGTAATAGGGTCTGTAAGCGAACAGCATGGATCCTGATCAGACTGTGCGGATGCGCAGGCTGGTCTGGATCCATGCTGGTGTAAACCCATTATGTTGGTTTTGTCATGACACAGCTCAATTTTCTTAATAAATCATTATCAAATAAACTAATTTTTATCAATATCTTAATTCTTCAAACTTTACCAAAATGTTCATGGACATTGCAATGTTAGTTTAAGGTAAATGCCTAGTAACATCAGAACTCTTGTATTTAATTGCAATGGATGTCACTTTAAAACATAATAATTATGTAACTGTTATTTGTATAATTATAATGATTTATCATAAACTGGGCAAAACATTAACTAAAATTGATTATTTTTGTAAAAGAAGACTGCACTGTCTGGCAATTAGCATAGTTTACTTCGGTTGTTGAATTACTGTAATTGACCCTTTTAAATTGTATTAATATTGTCAAATTATCATAATTATTAAATTTACTTTAATTTGATTTAACTTTATTACATTTACTCTTAATTCTTTTATAATTTGAAGACCAATTTCCCCATTTTAGGATGGGCATTCCTAACGGTAAGTTAATGAATGGCTTTAAAAAGACAAGAGTTAGAGATGTAAAGGGTTACTGGGCATTCAGGACATAGACTTCCTATCATACTCTCAATTAAGTGTGAAAGTTTAACCCATTCCCTTTGGAGATTCCAACTTCCTAGCAAAAACCAAAGTGTGACACTGACGCAGACACCTGGGTGAGTAGAATGGCTTTCCCTATTCTTTGAATAGATGAACCAAAAAAAATATACAAGCAATCTGATTGGTGGAAACTCCTATCTTAAACAATTCAAATGTTAAGGATACGACACTGCATCTTATTTGGTCAGCAAGAACAAAATTATATGTTGATAACAACACTTCAACTTTTTTTTATAATGACTTTTTTACCCATTTGACAGCTGGCTTTCTTCCTTTTATATTAGAGAAATCTGTTTAAAGGTAACATAGATCTATTATAAAGCACAGAATTAAACTAGATTAAAGCTTAAAATATCATCATTAATTTACAATTTATACTAACATATTTTAGTTCAATTGTGTAGGAACCTTAAGGCTTATAGAAACACTCTCAAATCAGGTCCTGGAACCAACCAGTACTAAGCAATGAGTGTAAAGTTTCTTGCTAATGGAAACAAAGCCTTGCCTCTGACAGGGGTTTGAACCCACCCACAATCTTAAGATTACTAGTCTGATGCCATGCCACCAATCAAAGATCGTCATTTATTTTGCAAAAATCCTAAAAAACACAAACCATAACATAGTGTGGTATTATAGTGAATAGTAACGTTAAGATAAGATTTTGGCGTATGAAAATAATCTTAAATGCTTAGAACACATTTTTGATACAGAGTTATCCTGACACTGCAGCTAAAGTAAGTTATACTATTACTATGAAAAAAAATTAGGTATTAAATCAATGGAACACTGTAGTCAGATATAGAGCTAAAAGGAAAATAAGCAAGAAAAAATATAATTAATCACATCACTTTACCAGTTTATCTATAGTAACTTTGTAAAGGAAAAAATACATGAGCCTTAAGCACACTCTTTCCCCCCATTATTCAAATAAATTAAAAATAAAGAGCTAAATAGCTAAGACAATTCCTTAAATGTTTTCAAATTTGTAATGTACTTTTAAAGTATTACACCCCTTCCAATCCTTGATTTTTTCCTAAATGATTCTGTCAATAAAAATGTCTGAAGAGAGGATGAATTTAACAAAGTGTCAAGCCTGTTAGATTATCTACGATTTCTTTTCTATTCTAGTAATTACAGCCCATTTTACAAGCAATTTATATTTCTGATGAAAAACTGTCACTTCAACACTATTTAAAGTCATTACAAACTATGTTGAAAATGTACTTCTGTAATCTTATACTTTAGGGTTCTACAACATCCAAGCTTTTTTTGTGTTTTATTAATTTTTCTCTACTGTCTATCTGACAGAATGGAGTTTTATTATTATAAATGGAAAGGAATATATACTACCAGTCTTCGAAATTAACGCCAGTACGAGGCCCGAGGCCACTAAATTTAGCATCGTTCTGGTTATTATTGCAAGGTTGGTGGTCCGACAGGCCAGTAGATTTTTGGCCATGAAAAAATATTATAAGAAAAATTCATCAAAATAATGAAGCAGGGTTCTCTAAAAGATTGATCTTTTTGCCTTTTTTGCAAATGAAACCCATCAATTCTGTCCTAAATGTTCAAAACACAGCGAGAGATGTCTAAATTGTACTGAGTAATGGAGGCCGCCATTTTTTTTCTTGGATATTTTCCGTACCGCACCGTACAGTTACAGAGATTAAACCATTGTTTATTATAGTCATTATTTAGCTATGATTTTGTGATTATTAAAGGGTTGTTTGTGTTAGGAATATAAGATATATTCTTACAGCTTCATCCAAGACAAAGAATCTGACTCCAGACAGAGCTAATTTTCCTGTTGAAATCAGATCTTCCAATCTACCTGGTGTTCCAACAACAATGTCAACCTGAAATCATATATTTTAAAATAATACAAAAATTAAATGATGCGCAGGCTGGTCTGGACCCATGTTGGTCGCAAACCCATTATGTTGGTTTTGTCATGACGTGGCTCAAATGTACTGTTAAAATGCTAACACTGTAACATATTGTTGACTTAACATAAGGAATATTATATAATGGTTTATGCCTAAATTGCAAGTTGTATTGCAAAGATTTTCAGATTGAACAAGTGAACGTGATTGTAGTTTCTCTCAAGTGGAAAACCTTACAGTTTATAGGGACAATGATCTCATCTCCAACAGTAAATACTCAACATTATATTGTTCCTTTAATGACATATCATGCTATATAGACAATGATTTGATACTACAGTCAAACCTGTGAATAGAGGTCAGCAAAGGGAGAGACTGAAAATGTCCTTTATATACAAGCAGGCTTTATTTGCAGGTTACTTTGTTTTCAGAGGTTGTCTTTAATGCAGGTTTGATTGTATCTAGTTACTATTACATCAGATAAAGAAATCGTGCAAACTTAAAGTGTAAAGTATCAACACTAATATAAACATTTTTATAATATTCATAAATGATATGACCCTTTCAAGGGTCAAATATACTACTTCCAACAATTACATGACTTATTCTGTACTCTGCTTGACCTGACTGCTGTGACAGAATTTATAGTGTTTTTGTGGCTTAAAACAAAACAAATAAAATGTTGTTCTTGATGTATACCTTGATTTGATTAAGAAAAGTATTCATGGAATAACTGATTTATTTACCCGTAAATTTTTACAGCATTCTTCTTCTGATAACATTTTTTAATTGCCATAAAAATGCTATTTTCATAAATTTAGGTGTTGATTTTTTTTTCAGGTTTAAAATGACACTGTTAAGGTCATATGGTAACTTCTATCCTAATTCTCCCATTTCCCTAGTAGATTATTTCACACAAAATCAGGCATCTTGGAAAAACCACCAACCTTCTTTAAACCAGCTGGATAGTTTACTAATATGACAAAAGTGTATGTACCATTAACAGATACCATAATAATAAATGTATCATGAAAAGTCATTCACAGTCTTTCTAAATCATCCTGCAGACCATCGCCGGAACCCATGTGTACTGATTTTGCTGTGCGAAAGAAGTGTATACATAAAAGGAGTCGCATGGATTACTGAGGAAGCCTGCAGATCATGAAATCAATAACTGGGACAGTGTACAAACATGACTATTGTCACCAAAAAAAATTAGATTTTTCTCTGCAAATAAATATTTTAAACTGCATATTTAATGGAACAGATTTCTCTAACTCTGCTGGGAAACTTTTATTTTATTTTCAATTTTTCCCTAGTTACAAATGATGAAGTATCTTAGGATGGTGAACTTGCATGTTGACTTGACAAGTAGAGCAAGTATCTAATTAAAGTTAATGATGTTAACATGAATTTACTCTGTCAGCAAGAAATTATCAAGATTATAAGCTCTCTCTCTTTTTAAGAGAATTGAAAAATCAATGGTATTTTTTTTTTAGAATATGGGAACTATAATTATATCCACCTTTTTTATTGATTTATGGATGCAAAGGAAACATTTTATTTCTTAATTGATCTAAAAAAAAAAAAAAAAAAAAAAGACGAAAACTTGGTACAATGGGATAAAAAAGAAACTACATAGGATAAAATAATATGACGTTGATGAAGCGAAACATGATCTTATTTTGTAATATTTTTTCAGATACAAGCTTACATCTGTAAATCTGCCTTTATTTTAAGTGCTCATATTCATTTAGTTTTGATTTAGTTAAAGTTCATAATGTTTTAAATACCTTTGGTTATTTATGTAGACAATTACAAACATTTTAGATGAAACATATTTAGCATGTCTATTGTTACTGAAATATCAAAGGTCTTTTCCCTCATATCTATTTCCATATATATGTATGAAATTTTACACTCTACTCCACTTATATTGAGATCGGTTTAAACAAGCTACCACATGTAACATACATTCTCCTGAGTGCAGTTCATTTCCCATTTATTTTTCTTTCCTTTTATACCATTTTAAAACAAGATTATTTTAAGCAATTGACAACAGTTCAGCCCATGTCAGCATCATGTAGGCCACTCTTGATGTCAATTTAATGAAGCCCTCGAAGATCTGCACTCAGGCTGATTATCAAGAGAAACTCATTAAGTATCCAAACTTGATTACTTAACAGTAGGAAAACAAAGCATTTCTGACCTCAGCCTGAATTATCTCATGACAAGGTGAGGTCAAAAGGGTGAGTCAAATTGTGGACCACTACAGTGTTAACAAGGATTATCCATATTTGAGCAGTGCGACTAGTTTTTTAACCCAGGTGACACATATTCAAACCTGACCTAGAAATCATCAAAACAAACTTTCAGACCAATTTCCAGGATACTTGGATCAAAACAGTAGCAACTAGAGTGTTAACAAGATTTTTCTATTTTTAGCTCCGGTGACCTAGTTTCACATGCGATTTCGAACTCATCCAAGCAATTACCTAGACAAGCATTCTGACCAAGTTTGATGATAATGGAGTCGAAAATGTGACCACTAGAATGTTAACAAGGTTTTTCCATATTTGGGCGGTGTGACCTAGTTTTTTCATCCAAGATGACCCATGTTCGATCTTGACTTAGAAATCATCAAAACAAACTTTCAGACCAATTAACAGAATATTTGGATCACAACAGTAGCCACTAGAGTGTTAACAAGATTTTTCTATTTTTAGCTCCTGTGACCTAGTTTTTCATCCGAGATGTCCCATGTTCGATTTTTTCCCAGCAATGACCTAGACAAGTTTCCTGACCAAGTTTGATGACAATTGAGTCAAAATTGTGACCACTAGAGTGTTAACAAGGTTTTTCTATTTTTAGCTCCTGTGACATAGTTTTTCATCCGAGATGACCCATGTTCGAACTCATCCGAGTTATTACCTAGACAAGCATCTTGATCAAGTTTGATGATGATTGATGCAAAAATGTGACCGCTAAAGTGTTAACAAGGTTTTTCTATATTTTTAGCTCCGGTGACCTACTTTTTCATCCGAGATGACCCATGTTCGAACTCATCCAAGCTATCAACTAGATAAGCATCCTGACCAAGTTTGATGATGATTGATGCAAAAATGTGACCGCTAGAGTGTTAACAAGGTTTTTCTATTTATAGCTCCGGTGACCTAGTTTTTCATCCGAGATGACCCATATTCGAACTCATCCGAGCTATTATCTAAACAAGCATCCTGACAAAGTTTGATGATGATTGGGTCAAAAATGTGACCACTAGAGTGGTCACAAGGTTTTTCTATTTTTAGCTCCTGTGACCTACTTTTTCATCAGAGATGACCCATGTTCGAACTCATCCAAGCAATTGACTAGACAAGCATTCTGACCAAGTTTGATGATGATTGGTTCAAAAATGTGACCACTAGAGTGTTCACAAGGTTTTTCTATTTATAGCTCCTGTGACCTACTTTTTCATCCGAGATGACCCATGTTCGAACTCATCCGAGCTATCACCTAGACAAACATCCTGACCAAGTTTGATGAAGATTGGGTCAAAAATGTGACCTCTAGAGTGTTCACAAGGTTTTTCTATTTTTAGCTCTTGTGACCTAGTTTTTCATCTGAGATGACCCATGTTCGAACTCATCTGAGCTTTCAACTAGATAAGCATCCTGACCAAGTTTGATGATGATTGAGGCAAAAATGCGACCGCTAGAGTGTTCACAAGCAATTGTGGACGGCCGGACGGACGACGGACGACGGACATTCATCGATCCTAAAAGCTCACCCTGAGCAAGCTCAGGTGAGCTAAAAAGTAGCCTGATACAATGTAGGAGTTCCTTAAGTTCCCCTAGTTACAACAAGACACCATTATTTGTTGTCCTGTTTACAATGATATAACATTATCATAGTCCCAATCATCTTGTTATATCCAGAGTGGACTGTATATGTTTTTCTAATTTAAATGTTGCCATGAATAACATGAAACAGGAAATATATATGTTTATAAATAGCAGTTGATAAGAAAATATTCAGAAAAAAATCTCTAGTTGATATGGCTTCAGTGTCAGAGAATCTGTCAATTATGAAACCACTGATGTTGTGACAAAACACTGTGAAATAATATAATAGTTATTGTATTAGAATATATTCATCTTGACAGGAGTCAAGATCTCATTTCAATAAGCCCTGTCAAGAGGACCATGTCCAATAAAAATTTGAAAGAGGATATACCAAAGGCAATGCCTAAAGAACGAGGACATACCAAAGGCCATGCCTATAGAATGAGGATATACCAAAGGTCATGCACTATAGAATGAGGATATACCAAAGGTCATGCCTATAGAATGAGGATATACCAAAGGTCATGCCCTATAGAATAAGAATATACCAAAGGCAATGCCTAAAGAATGAAGATATACCAAAGGCCATGCCTATTAAATGAGAATATACCAAAGGCAATGCTTAAAGAATGAGGATATACCAAAGATCATGCCTAAGGAATGAGGATATACCAAAGATCATGCCTAAGGAATGAGGATATACCAAAGGTCATGAATATAGAATTGAGGAGGTATGTTACCAAAAGTCATAAATATAATGAGGGAATACCATGTCATGAATATAGAATTGAGGATTACAAAGGTCAAGTCTATAGAATGGGATATACCAAAGGCCATGAAATATAGAATGAGGATATACCAAAGGTTCATGAATATTGAATGAGGATATTCAAGGTCATGAATATAGAAAGGATTATTACCAAAGGTCAAGTCTATAGAATGAGGATTATAAACCAAATGCCATGAATTATTAGAATGAGAATATTCCAAAGGCATGCCTATAAGATGAGGGATATATAACAATGTTTAGCATTGTCTGACAAAGAAGAGAAAAAAGGTAATAAAAAAACTAATGTTATCTGTCCATTAATAAGTTCAAGACAAAGGTTTATTTATTTGTCCATTAATAAGTTCAATCTGTATAAATATTCATCTCCCAATTTATTAACAATTGTACAAAGATGTGGTTGGAGTTTAATAGTGGGGAATGACAGAAAATTTTCATTCCACATAACACACACATTTTTCAAATTTTATGAAGTGGGAATTTTATGATTCAGATCAATTGCAGCTAAATTTGCTATCACAAAAGGTATCAATACTTGAATGCACTGTAATGAAAAACTATTTATAGGTAATTTCCTTCACAACAGTTTAACACATATATTGTTACAATCAAGTAGTGTAAAATCTCATTAACAGACCAAAGAAAGATTTTGTTCTGTATAAACATTAAATTGGACTGTTGAAATATGAAGATGTCAGACAAAATCAACATCCTGCTATTTGATATTAATATACACTTTCCCATTTAACAAGTGAATGACCAAAGTTGAACTTTGTGAAAAATAATCATGTTTGCTCAGCATTCTTTAAGCTCAATGAGAATTTGGCAAAATATCTCCTCAAAAGATAATGTTTAAGTTGACAGTGACTTCTACTATCACTTACAATACAGTTTTAACAAGTTTATACACTATCACAATTTTTGCAATCGCAATAAAACTACCAAATTTTGCAAAATGTTAACTTCTGTTTCTAAATCATAAAGAACAAAAATTGTTTGAAATAATAAACCAAATACAGGTTTTTTCTCAATTTTTTCGAAGGGAAAAATTAATAAAAATTTACTTCTGATTTTTTGTATAGGTTAATAAACCCCCTATACTCATTGGAAAATGCAAAGGATGATGTGAACTTAAAACAAAAAAAATTTTAAAACCCATTACTTTATACACCCCTTTTAAACGTTTTTTCACCCCCCCCCCCTTTTTTTTGGGTCTAAAAATGGTAAAAAATGCCTTTTTAGGCCCCCCAAACCCTTGTTTTTTTTTGAAAAAGTTTTTAAAAAAAGGCCTTTTTTTTCGGGGGCCCCCCCAAAAAAGATCTCAGGGGGTTTGCCAAAGGGGATGTCCCCCCTTTCTGTTGGGGGGTTTAAAGGGGGGGGGGTCCCCTTCATCGCAAAAAAAATTTTGGATTTTGTGAAGGCTATAAATTGAGCTCAGATTGATCATAGGTAACGTGTAACCAACGCTGAAAAGCATTTGACTCTATTCTCAATCCATTTAGAAGTTTGCAGCACTTTGGAAATCAATTTATGATGGAAAAAATGCTCATGAAGTAATGGGTTAAATGTCATATATGTCACAGTTTAGAACTGTTTAATATGTAGTAGAGAAGATTGTAAAGGGCCAGATAGCACAGTCGGTAAAGCTGCATAACGGTACTTCCGAGGATCCCCGGTTTGAGTACTGGTCAAGCTGCCCGTTTTTCTTACCTTGTGACATTTGGCGCCCAACCTGGGACATGTGAATGCATATTGCTCATAGTTTAATTCACATTGTCCTGTAACCCTGACAATTTCAAGGACCAATTCAAATAGAAAGCATGGGAGTATGTAACATTTTAGAACTTTTAACTAAGTAGGGTAGAAGATGTGTAACGTGACCAGATAACCAGAAAATTTAGCCGCGGTTCATTTTGAGGGTCCTTTTTTATTTCTAGTAAAGCTGTATTTTTTTCCTCCCCCTTGACATATACAATCATTTTAAAATATAATAATAAAATAACATTTCGGTTGCCTAATTTTTTATAATAACGGTTTCATACTGAAAAAAAAATTAATTCTTTTGACTGGATATTTTTTGCTTTGGATGCTTGTTCGAGCTTATATTTTTAAATTATCCCCCACGTTGCCCTTTATCAAAATCTTGATGTGTCAATTTCTAAAATCAAATGGCACTCAAGAATATGTCATTTGAAGATTATATCGTTTATCCTTTCGACATTTTCTAATTTTTAAGTAGGGTTTTGTTTTTAACCACTTTTAGCATAAGGATAGTATACGCAGTGTGACTTATCTTACTTGACTTTGCCCCTTAAAAAAAGCAGTTTCCCGAGCACATTACTGAACTAAACCTTCAGGGTTTAAGTTACTTAAAAGGAAAAACCGGAAAAAAAAAGAATTTTTTTTAAAAGCAGATGAAAAATAAAAAGTTTTTTTGTTAATTCTTTTGCAAATGGAAATAATTCAATCAAAGAACAAAAGGCTATAACTCTGCCAAAAATATGACAAACCCCTGACAAAATGACTGTAAGGGTACTTGATGAATATCAATTTCTGTGAATGTTTGAATGAAATCCCATAAGAAATGTAGCAAGAAGAAATTATCCATTCACCAATCTAAAAGCTTCATTTTGAAACTTGGGTTTAAAAAAATTAATTGCAGGTTAAATATTAAAAATTCAGAGGCCCCCCATCTATTAATGAATAGCAAAATGATATTTCGCACTGAAAAGTCTTTTTTGGAAAAAAATTAGGAAAGGTTTTTCCGGGAACAAAATTTAAACCGCCCCCAAAAAAACCATTTTCCCCCCCCCTGAGAAAATTTAAAATCTTTTAAAAGTCATGTTTTTTTCTCATTTTTATCAAAAATTAAGTAATGCACTTTTAACAGAAAAGCATGTGAGCTAAAAGAGTATAGAAAAACTATAATCAAACCAAAAATTTTTGGTTAAAATTTTATTAATTTACGAAATTTAAAAAGTCAATTTTCATTTTTAAAAAATTTGTTGAATTTTGCTATTAAGGATAGAAATAATGATCTTTTTTACTCAGCTATGAATCTTTAATAATTTAAAAGTTCTCCAGTAAAAGAAATTTGAACATGATATAAAGTATAAATTATAACATATAAATGTTAATGAACTAGAAATGTGTCCCTAGGACATGGATGCACCCAATATTTCACTATTTTGGCAGTCTATTTGGACAGACAGCCAGAAGAACAATCAGACAATAGTAAATTTATATTCCCTGCTACAAAGTGTGGGCATATAAGTTACATAAGGCCCCTGTTAGTTGATTTTTTTTTATTTCTTACACCCACTGTCCTTAATTTTTGGCCAAAAATAGAATTGAAATTGTACAGATTTTTTTTTTATTTAAGACCACAAATTTTATAGTCCTATTAAAATTCAATGGTGCTCTGCAAGGCTCTAGCAAAAAGGCATGTTAATGTATTTAATTCCACCTCTAGGCATAACTTAAATATGCAGTCACTGCCAAAACAAGACACAAACATTATTGTAACGCTATCTGACTGACATTTACATTAAACTGACAAAATGTGTAATTCCATTCCTGTTATTTCTTCATGTTAATAACACCATCAACTGAGCACAATTTACTCAACATCAACCACTTTTTTTATCTGCCCTTCTAGGAACATAATAAGGAAATGTCCCCCATGAGAAATGTCTTTTTTTCTTAACTTATTTTGTCAGTAACAACTCTTGATATTTTCCATTTACAGCAAAGGTTGAAATGTTTTTGTTTTTGTTTTTTTCAGATGAAGTCCATCTGTTATAACTTTGACTTCCTGTAAAATTAAAGATATAATAAAAGTAGTCTTACCCCTTTAGACAAAACATCAACCTGGTCCTTGACATTGACTCCTCCCACAATCAACAGCTCTCTTGGAGTTGGGTTAGATAGGTGGGTCTTGAACTTCTGAATTTGTACAAGAGTCTGAAAATAATGAAAATTTAAGATTCAAAGATAAAAAAAATTATCAAAAAGTATGGCAGTCAGTTAATTGACATACAATTAAAGGTTTTTCAAATGCCAATGCAATCTTAAAATGAAAGTCATAGCTTTAAAAAAATTTAAGTTTACTTGAAATTAATTTACCCAAAAATGATGAGGGGCATAATTAATAAAACTTTTGAAGAGAACAAAAAGGTTAGGCTATGTGTCAATTATCCAGCACATAAAGCTTTCTAATCTGAATGATGAACTGCAGGATTTTAAGTTCAAGTATTGACAGAATCTTATGTCTTTTATTGTGTATTACATGTATTTCTAATAACAGCCTTATATCCTAGTTAAAAAAAATCTCTGCAACTTCTCTCTCAAAATCTCTCTCAAACAAAAAAACAACAAAAAACACTACATAAAATTGGTTAATAGTACAGAACATTTCCAAGGGAGAAATCTGTAATCAACACATGCAAAGATGCTTGATTTATGTATCTCTTGCATCAGGATTAATTACAATTTACAGACAAACAGCTGCGTCCCATAATCAGCCATTCACTTTAATTCCTGAATATTTTTTAAAGACCCATCAAGATAGCCTCATTTTATTTTGTATTCCTACTTAAAATGAAAGTAATGTTCTAAATATAAAAATTCTGAAAAAATATCTGAATTAAGAGCTTTTAACAATTGAAAATAGTAAAGTCCAAAAATATTGGGAATTATATTCGAATCACTACTGACTTCAAACACTGAAAAACGAGTATTAATAAAAAAAAAAAAAAAAAAAAAACTTTTTTTTTTTTTAAGAAATACTTTTTTATTACTTTCAAATTTCAAGATAGTAAATTACACCTTTGATCTTCACTTGACCAGGTCAGTTTATATACAATTATCGCCAATTAACTGTGAAAAGTTTGGGGTATATTTTATCGAAAGAGCATCCATTTCACAGTTTGTAATTTACCTGTGTAATGGTTTATAATTATCTTACTTTATAGTTTTCTGTGTTCAAACCTTTCCAAACAATTGATTATTGTCTTAATTTTGTGAAGAACACTAAAACGGCACATAGTAATCATACCAGAACAAACAATCTATATTCCTCACTCTAAAATTAACTTAATTTCACCCAATGAAAATTTAAAGCTCTACTCTGAACAGATGACTTTTTGCAAACATTGTTTTAAAGTTACATTAAATAAATTTCATAAAAAAAGAAATAGCGACATTTCATTAATAAATTGGGTTTCATATCGACTCCAGATCTTATTTTGGTGTCCAGACATCCAAAATGAGATTAATGAGCATACAAATGGGCAACCTCATTGTGGCAAATTCAGAAGTACAATTTCTGTTTGCATGAAAAACTCCGCCTTCAGATCATCCGTACATCAATATTAAATCAACAAACATGACTAAAAGTAGCAGTCCTTATCTAACGGTATATTTCCGCATTTTAACGGATATTTTCATACAAATTTAATCTTTTTTATGAGATGATTATTTTTTCTGAGCCACAGGCCTAGTGCACCGTGAAGCTCAAACGGTAAAAGTGTGTTTGCACAAGAAAATCTTATATTTGCTGTGTTCCGGATAGCAACTATAACACTGTGACGTAGCGCATACACAAGCTGATTATAGTCTTCATTTGCATGTTAAAATTCGTATACGAACTTTAGTGTTACCGTGGGGTTTTCCATTTAAAATCCTAATTTATGAACAATATTTGATGAGATTTACAACGATACTGTTAAAAAGGTTAATGAAACTGTAGAATGCTTGGTTTTTAGGCCGACGGCAAAAATATTGTAACATGTTTATTTAATGTAACTTTAAAGATATTTGAAATGGATGATTTTGGATGTATCTTTCTCTCTGTTGAAAAAAATCAAAAGTCAATATATCGCAATGCCGTCCCATGTTCGGAATTACTTTTACTTGTTCTACTTGTGATCTATGCAAGGAAGTGTTTGAGTATAAAGGGACTACTTCTAACGTACTAAATCATCCAACATCTAACAACATCTTAATCGTTGATTATTCCAAGCATATTAAAGTAGTACAGTATTCGACCTAATCAATTTTGGATACTATGTACAAGGAGAACAAGTAGCTTTTAGATGAGCCGCGTCATGACAAAACCAACATAATGGGTTTGCAACCAGCATGGATCCAGACCAGCCTGCGCATCCGCGCAGTCTGATCAGGATCCATGCTGTTCGCTTACCAACTCTATTATAGTTAGAAAAACTGATAGCGAACAGCATGGATTCTGATCAGACTGCGTAGATGCGCAGGCTGGTCTGGATCCATGCTGGTCGCAAACCCATTATGTTGGTTTTGTCATGACGCAGCTCATATATACTAACTAATACTAAAGTTAACGTAACAGTTTGTTTTTGTTCATTGGACAATATGTCACAATGACACTGCTACGGTGTCTTTAAGCTACTGGAGGAGGAAGACCTCAGGTGCCCTTGGTGCAGTATTTCAGGCATAAGCAGGCACCCTGAGTAGAATCAAGCAGGCACCCAGAGTAGAATCAAACAGGCACCCTGAGTAGAATCAAGCAGGCACCCTGAGTAGAATCAGGCAGGCACCTTGAGTAGAATCAAACAGGCACCCTGAGTAGAATCAAGCAGGCACCCTGAGTAGAATCAGGCAGGCACCTTGAGTGGAATCAAACAGGCACCCCTAGTAGAATCAAGCAGGCATCTTGAGTAGAATCAAACAGGCACCCTGAGTAGAATCAAGCAGGCACCTTGAGTAGAATCAAACAGGTACCCTGAGTAGTATCAAACAGGCAGCCTAAGTAGAATCAAACAGGCATCATGAGTAAGCAAGCTGGATAGCTTCCTCATATGAAAGAATCCATTGAGTCCCTGACAGAATTTAAACCAACAGTGGTGAGGGACAAGTGATTTGAAGTAGGTGACCTTAACCACTTTGTCACAGAGAGCAATGTAGAGTATTTCTATCACACATATGGGTAAGTCATAGAGGGTCTTTTAATTTATTTTCCTTTTAAAGTTAATTCAAGGATGTAAAATTTCCAGACATTAATTAAATCTATTTTTATGCATGCTGATAACATATAACACCTCGGCTAATTTCTCCCATATAGAAACGAGCTTATGGCTGATTAATTATGATGTAAAATTCTTCTACCAGGAATGTAATACAACAAAGATATCTGTGTTGGTTATATATCAGACTAATCAGCTTCTATGATTTCTTGGATTTAATATTTCAGAGCAGACAAGAAATTACGTAATACATTTCTCTGGTTAACAGTTTTCTACTACACAAAGATAAGTTCTTTAGAAGCTACAAGAAAAGTTAAGTTTCTCTGTATCCCCTATATGATACCGCTCTAACTAATCGCACAGTGTCTGTAAATATTCATATATTTATATGTCTTATTAAACAGTTTCCTGACATCCAATCAGGTTTATGACTATCTGTATATATCTAACATATGGTAGGTATCTGTATATATAACACTATGATATACCTTTATCCTTAATAGAATCTCAATATCATACAATTACAGACTTATGTTCAAGTGGTTATAAAGTTTTTCAGACCTTAGAAAAGTTATATCACCTGAGGTTGATATAAGGTCTATTATGAACGGTATACCATCCATATATGGGTACCAGAACTCCATATCCTATATGTAATAGTATCCCTTAATCTTCCATATATGGTAATATATATGATATATACATATATTTTGTATCCCTTCATCCTATAGATTGTATACCAGCATAAATATGGCATTATCTCTAAATTGAATCTCTATATCCTATATAGTGTTCTGTACATCATATATAGATCCAATATATGTAACTCTTTATCAAAATTTTGTATCTCTTCATCAGAAACACATAAATGTTATCTCTATAACTATGTAACTATACTATATTAATATATAATTATGATAATTACATATCAGTAAAAAAACTTTATTGTTTGCTTAGCTATAGAAAAGGAGATAGAATATTTTACCTGCTCAGCAAGTTCTCTGGATGGTTCTATAACAATGGCCTGTGGAGCATTGGGGGCTGGTTTAGAACTTGTAGCTCCGCCTCCTGCGATCTTTGACTCCGACACACAGTCTTTTGGTGCTTTAGCTAAAGCTGAGAATTCTTTAGCCGGTGGAAACTTGAATGGTGTATCACCAAAGTTAAAGCTCATCTCAGCATTCTGTAAAATTACAAATATCATTAGAAGCAACAGTTGTTGGACATCATGTAGGCATTAAAGTTTCACACCAGAAAACTTATATGAATTTTCCTATAAAGGTCTGTATATACTAAATGACGCTGGGCCCGGCCAATCTTTGATCTCAAGGGTATGATTTATTTAACTTTTGGTAATGACCACCAGGTGATGCTTCTAACTAAAGCTCTGGGCATTATAGATTTTGAGGACGTTTTTAAAATATTTCATTTATGCTCTTGTGACCTATATAGCATCGGTCTGAAACCATTTATATAAATCATTTTTTAGAAGTTTGGTCAAAATCAGCCTTGTCATTTAGAAGAGATGTCATTTAAAAAAAATTCAAATAATGGAGAATGACAGACACAATGCCATCTTGAAAGCTCATCTTGGAGAAATTTTTGTTCAGATGAGCTATAAATCAGACTAAAAATCATTCTAAGGTCAACAATCAAGTACAATGTAACAAGAATATTTCCTCCCCTTACCAAAATTGTTTAAAAACTTAATCATACCTTAAGAACAACAGCAGCAAAGAATTTTTCCTTTCTTAGATGACCAGGTATATCATAAGCCTTGCCAAGGTCGATACCATTCTTTGACCATCGAATCTCACCTTTCTGGAGGTCAAGGTAACAGCCAATAGTGTCATTCATTCCATATGGCTGAAATATAACAAACAAAATACAGAAATCTAAATTTCACATGCATAGTTTTTAATGTTAATACCTTTTTTTAATATTTCAATAGATTTGGCTGAAACCTGTATTTTTTATTTTAATCAATGTCTTTAGGTCTTGAAAATTACAACTTAAAGCTTTTTAGTTGTCTATGAATACATATTAAGAAAAACGTCAACAAAAGCACTACTTCAATCATATACCAGAACAGAAATCTTTATAATATTCTGTTCCAGTTCTCTGGTTTTATTCCAAATATTCATCATTTTCAAACAGCTGAGGTAGGCAAATAATGGTAGACATATCATTTTCAACCAAGTATCATGGAAAAAATCCAGGTTTGAACATGTGTTCCACTGACCAAATACCAGACATTAGATAGCCTTTACTGCGTTGCATTAAAATATAGTTTTAAATACTGAAAAATCAGTCATTAATCGCACATACTATGTAAAACATTACTTGAATCTTGAAACTTTTTACTTTTCCTTACATTAAAGTACATTTTTTTCAAGTTTGATTTAATTGAAATATTTTGACTTATCTGGAGGCATGTTGCTTTCTTTAACATGCATTATAATATAATCTGGTTACCAACCTCCCCATAAGAATCAAACTGCTTGCCCCAGGATTTCTTGCCTGTCCCTCCAAAGCCAAAACCAAACTTGTCTGTACCGAGGTCAAGCACTGCCTTGTCAGTAGACCAACCTACACGACACAGACCCTCATCTGTCACTGTAGCCTCATAGTAATATCTTCCTATATAACACAAACATTATTATAAACAAGAGCTGTCACAGGAGACAGCGAAGCTCGACTAATAAAATACTGGACGCAGTAAGGAGGACAAAACTATGAAAGAAAAATCAATTATGTATAATTAAGTATTAAGTTATAGTAAAAAAATAACATTTGTTAACATAAATTCCAAGATCAAGGGAAATAATTCTAGAAATAGGCATGCTAGAGTTATGGACCTTGCCACACAACATTTGTGTAATGATAAGAAATATATATTTGAAGTTTGAAGTAGATACCTTAAAAAATAAAGAAGTTATTATATTTCTTAAGAAAATCCTAAGTTCAAAGAGAGATAAATCTGTAAATATTGCTTCAAGAGTTATGAACATTGTCACATAAAATGTACATGTAATTGATGATAAGGAATAAGTATTTGAAGTTTGAGGTAGTTACCTTTAAAAATAAAAAAAGTTAATATAAAAAATAACATTTTTCTAGTAAATAAATCTAAGTTTATGGGGAGATAATTCTTGCAATATTGGTGCTAGAGTTATGAACCTTCTCACATAAGATGTTGATGATGATAACGTAAATATATTTGAAGTATGAAGTTGATCCCTTTAGAAATAAATAAGTTACAGTAAAAAAATAATATTTTTATGGAAAATTCTAAGTTCAAAGGAGATAAATCTGAAAATATTGGTGCTAGAGTTATGAACCTTGTCACATAAGATGGGATGATGATAATGTAAATATATTTGAAGTATGAGGTTGATCCCTTAAGAAAATTAAGAAGAAAACAGTAAGAAATAGTATTTTTGAGGAAAATTCTAAGTTCAAGGGAGATAATTCTGAAAATATTGGTGCTAGAGTTATTAACTTTGTCACATAAGATGGGGATGATGATAAGGTACATATATTTGAAGTATGAGGTTGGTCCCTTAAGAAATAAAGAAGTATCAGTAAAAAATAGTATTTTTTAAGGAAAATTCTAAGTTCAAGGGGAGATAAATCTGAAAATATTGATGCTAGAGTTATGAACCTTGTCACATAAGATGTGGTTGATGATAAGGAACATATATTTGAAGTTTGAAGTTGATACCTTAAGAAATGACAAAGTTATAGTGAAAAATATTTTACTGCACCAAAACTTTAATCTAAAATCTGGACGCCGACGCGGACGCCGACGCCGGGGCGAGTAGGACAGCTCTCCATATACTTCGTATAGTCGAGCTAAAAAGTATCGTCCACATGAAATGTGAATTATAAATACTACAAATTCATGATTTTTACAACCAATATAGAGTTTTCTATAATTTTGTTGACAATACTCTTGTTAGCATCATTTGTATGAACAGGTAACATTATGTACATTCTTAAAATAATCAAGCAAAAGTCAAAGGCATATAAACAGAAATATGCCTAAATATTGAAACAGTACAGAATTGTCTCCCTTGTCATGCAATTCACAAAGCAGTAGTCAAAAGATCCTTGCTAGTCATACTTTAAACAATGCATCAATTGAATTTTCACGAGCACTTCAAATGTAATATAGAAACTCCTTATGACATTACACAGATTATAACCCAAAACACAATTTTAACCCAGTGATTTTCGTTTGTTGAGTTTTACACTGTACAAACACACACGGATCATATGATGACTTTTCAAGTTTTACTGATTGATGAAGATCTCAGGTGCCCTCTGTGTAAAATTTCAGGCACGCCTTGAGATCTGAGTAAAAACCATGGTGATTAAATCAGCTACAAGTCTACTGTTCAGGCAACAATACTTAAACAAAGTCGCTACAAAGAATAATTAAATACCAAGGCTTTTTACTGACAGCAGTGTTCAACAGATTTAGTTTAACATACATTAAAAGCTGTAAACTTGCTGTTTGACACATTTACAAAATCACTAATCAATATATTTAATTTTCTACTATTTCTACTTTATTCAGCAAGAAAACATTTGAACACTTTGTTTTAGAGCATAAAGTTAAGATCACACCCACCTTGTCCTGTGACAGACTTATTAGATCTAGTACCATGCCATTTCTGCATATCTCTACTCTGACACAATAAACCATCAGGGTCAATGGCTGAAATAATACAAAATTCATGAACTTTTTTTAGTAATTAGGACAAGAAAAAGCCCTTTTTATGAGTGATATGTAACGCAGATACAGTTAAGGTCATGTCTACTTTTTACTTTCAGGGGGGAAGAATTCTGCAAAAAAGCAAGGAAGCATTACCTGCCTTTAAAAGTGATTTTAATGTAAATATCTAAAATCCTGTAACAACCTGTTGACCATTAAATTTCAAGAGAAAAATGGGTCAAAGACAGAAAAGGCCAGGTTGCATATGTATACCAAATATCATGATGCTGTGATGTTACAAAAAAAAATTACCGTCGACCAATAATGTAACTAAGTCGGTAAACAGGAATTGGATGAGCGACAGACCTGAAATCAAATCCCACAGTATGGGACCACATGTCAATGATGTATGCCAAATATCAAAAGGCTGTGATAAGTAGTTGCTGAGAAAACTGTTACGAAAATTTCCTACCATTGACCATTTATGTCGAAAATTTAACTAAGTCAGTAAACAAGAAGTGGATGAGTGACAGACTTGAAATCAAATCCCACGATATGGGACCATGTTTCAATGCTGTATGCCAAATATCAAAAGACTGTGATAAGTATTTGCTGAGAAAACTGTTACAAAAAGTTTTTCCCTGCCCGCCCTCCGCCAAACATTCACCATACTATAACCCAGGTTTGCACCTGTGCAACCCGGCCAAAAAAGACCATAACTGAAGAAAAATTAATTATATGATTATCTGCCCTTTGAAACGCAAATTACAATTTAATAATAAATAAACTGAAAAATGGACAAAAACGATGACCAGGGCAAAACAATCTATTGGTCAAAAAAGAAATGTAACACTGCAAAATATAATTTTAGGATTATCTGCCCTTTTTATGGCATTACAATTTGATTATGACGAAGTATACTAAAATAACAACAAACCCATAGCATCTCCCCTATCATATATGTTCATCTTCCAATGAGAGTGACCTGAAATACACAAAAGAAATCTATCTTTATAATATATAATATTTTCCCCGCTACTTTTGAACAATATAATCTATCAACAAAGTCCTACCCTAAACAAATTATAATTTCAAATAATACAAATTAATATTAATTGCTTTGCATAACAACTATACTCTTAAATTTCTAGTTTCTATTAAGAAAAAAAGGGAAATTTTTGTGTGTGTTTTTTTTTTTCTTTTTCTTTTTTAAATAAGTGTTAACAGAGAAATGAAACACAAGTTTACCTTTAGATTTTACTAAAGCCTTGCTTCCTTTTCCTTCTTCAATATCCTTCAAAGTTTCATAGACAATCTGCAGAATTGGTAGACAGAAAGCCTGAAAAAAAGACATGAAAATAAACTATTTAAATACAAGAGGCAGTAAAAGCAGGGCAAGGTTATAAGTAGACAGTCAATGCAGTCTTTCATGACTCTACACAATTTACTAGCTTCTCCATTTAAGTGCAAAAATCAAATCTGTTTCTTTCATTTATGAAATCCAAAATCTTGTCTTGGACTGTAACAATGCTAAGACATGTATTAATCCTTACATTTTGGTTAAACAAATGTATCTAACTTAAAAGTGAATATTAAATTTGGTTGCTGGTCAACATAATGAGCTAATGGCATAAAAACGTTTATAATGACTTGAGTGCTAAAGGCCCAAAAACACTAAGGATTTGCAGTCATTACTTGCATAATGACCTAGATCTTGCCATAATAGACCCACAATTTTATTACTTTGTTTAGTAACATAAGTATTTTGGAGGCAGTGATACTGATCTGGTGGCATTTTTCAAATACATTGTACACCTTGAAACTACATTTGAAATGCCTATTAAAACTTAAATCAATCCATTATAAAATTTTGCATAAAACTATTTAGTGAAATTACTTAAAACAGAGTACCATATGCATCTATATACATATAAATACTAATATGGATGTCCTTCATAAGTTATTCAACAATAACCATGAAGGTATCATACAAGAGGCCAGTACTCACGTTCACCACTGAATACCGTGCTACTAAACATTAAAACACTATTTGGTGCTACATCATTAAAGTTACAGGTAATCTTTATTGAAACAAGAATATTTACCCCAGTTTTTCCACTCCCTGTCTCAGCAGCCTATAGAGAGTAAGATAAAAACAAACAAGTTATAATCATTATGACGTTATTAGAACATATTTTTTATACATAGCATTAGTTGAACAGTTCTTTCATTTACTTTCAGAGAAAATGTGACAGAGCCCACGGAGAAGAGAAAATGTGTTGTGGAAGGGGAAATCTATCTTTTTTAACTGGTGGGATTTTCCCCATTTTTTGTTATTTAATCTTTTTTTTTTTTTTTTTTTTTTTTTGCTTACTTTTTTTTCAAGACATTTTTCAGAAAAATATATACCTTTAGTAAATGGGACTGGCACTGAAATCCCTAAAAGGCACTGATTTTAACATCTATTTAAGCTTGTTAATAAAGAAACTTTGTTGTTTATTAGAACCCTTCTATAGCCTGTTTCCTGGAACTAACCAGTACTGGTGTCATATGAGGAAACATGGTTGTGACCCCAAATAGGGCTCTATACCAAGATCCCTGGACTAAGAGGCAGACACCTTAACCATTAGACCACCTAGAATATTTATTTTTAAGTTGAAGATCTTGTGTTCATAAATGAAAATTTTATTGCCATATTAAACACACACATTTTTTTAGGAGCTACGCATTACATTAAGTATTTAAATACAACCCTTAAAGTATTATCAACATGTTTACATATGGTATTTTATCTACCTCCAATACAATCAATGCAACAACATTTGCTTAACTTATTTTTGTCTTTTACAGCTCATTTACCTTTACCTCATAACATTCATATACGATTTGAATAAAAGTTTACTGGTATGTTCATAAATGTACAAGATGACAATGTTTTGATCATCTATGATATAGGCAAAGATAGAATAACATACCATAAGTACGTCACCACCACCAAGGATCATGGGTATAGCTTCTGACTGTACATCAGTAGGCAAACTAAAAACATAAAATACAAACATATACTAGAGTATGTACAATACTGTTATACACAATCTTATATGTAGCTTACACTGGTGAATACATAGCTTTATTACTGATGGGAAGCTATTTATAATTTATAGGCATAAACATTTTAGAATATACATGTATATTGAAGATTGCCTAGTATAATTTTATATGTGCCTATGATTTCAATGACAACATTGTTCATTTTATTAAAAAAAGATCAAGAAGCGATCTTTTTGCCGCCAAAAAATCTTTTTATTAAATACATGTACCTTATTTGTCAACCAGCTACCATGGAGATATATTATCAGGCATATTCTACCTGAGCTTTTTATACCAATATCTCAAAAGGTTTAGTGAAAAAAAAATTGCCATGGGGTGGTTAAAAAGTAACAATTCCAAAAGTAGCGAAATTGATGGCCAGGTGACTTTGATTGCTTTCCTTTTATTTTAAAATAATAGTCTGACTTAAAAGAGCATGCATGTTTCTTTATCAAATTATTGAGTGACTTTGTTTCTTTGTGATGTTTTTTTTTCTTTCTTCAAATTGTTTAGTGAAAATGTTTTTGTTTTTTCTTAAATTGTAAAGTGAGGTTTCCAAAAGTTACTGTTTCCCTTTGTTTTGACTTTGCTCAATCTTTGACAGCAAAAGTGCCCTGAACTATTTAGTGCTTGCTAGTAAAATAAGAACCATGCAAAATCTAACCAAATTCACAAAGGGAAATAATTCATTGAAAATCCACAAAACACATTACAATTAAGTACCGGTAATTATGCTACAAAGTCATGCTAAATTCTGAAGAGTGAGCTTTATGGTCACTATACGTAGATTTTATTTTATGGATTATTGACACTGGTTAACTTGATAGACTGAACAAACCTCCAATCCATCTCTTCCACAGCCCGCCCAATCTCAGGCATAACTCCCATTTCTGAAAGTAAAGTATCACAACAATTAATTTCTGAAAGTGAAGTATCACAAGCTACAATAAATGTGTTCTTAGAGAAGCATGAGAAGTGACCAAAAAAGAAAACAATAAAATTAAGTACCTCCATTTCAGATTATAAGTTTCATTAAGACACATTTTTTTTACTCTAATTTCAAATACACTTCATACAGTGAGTGGTGAGCATGCCTATAAGCAAATACTACAGATAAGTCTGTCATTGATAGAAATTTTTTTATGAATATATTAGTGTAAATACTGACGATATATCAAAACAAAGTTTATATAATAATTATACAAACACACTGGAATAAATGATTCTAAATGTTTATTCTTTTTTTGTTATGCGTGTTTTAAATAAAATATACAACAACACCAGTTGAAACTGTGTTCTCTTGTAATTTATAATCCCCAAAAAAATACAAACATCTCAATATCTCAGCTCAAAACAAACATTAAACTTATTTAGAAACAGCATTTTCAAAACTTTTAAAGTAGCAACAGCAAACATAGATTATTGTGAAAGAATTTATGGCAAAATAATTTTTTCATCAATGTATTTCAAAATGTCAAAGCAAAGCATTTGTTGTGAGCCTGTGAATGAAAATAATTAAGTGTACATAGACCTGCTGAACTATAGGCCTATGAAGATGAAACTAAAACACCGCGAGTCGGATGTGTCGCCTTGTGAATAGTATAGCAGTCACTTATATAGGTTATTTATAAACACCGCTAAAGGGCAATAACTAAAAAAATAAGAAGTGCAGAGTAACGGTTCTTGTGCACTGCACTTCTTAATCAGATCTATCATTCTATGAATATTCAAGTCCATAGCTTTTATAGTTTAGGAGAAATGGCCGGGATAAAAATAAAGTAAGAAAATTAACAAAGGGCAATAACTCAAAAGTCATTGAGTACCAGTTTTTGTGCACTACACTACATCTCAATGAGATATATCATCCAATAAAGGAGAAATGGCCCAGACAAACATAAAGTATAAAAATTGACAAATGGCAATACCTCCAAAAAATAGAAGAAGTGCAGATACCTTCTTTCACGCACTTTTTCCAATAAAATCTTTATCCATAATTTTAACTCCATACTTTTAAAGTTTTAAAAAATGGCCCGGCAATAAAAAGAGAAAAAATTTAAAAAAGGGCAATAACTCAAACAAGAGCTGTCGAGACGGGAACGCTCGACTATTTTTTATGCTTTATAGTAAAAAAAAACTTGATAGAGTTTCCTCCTCCGTTTTCAGGGGGTCATGATGTAACAAATGTGCAATTTCAAAGCCATATTTAAAGACTTTGAAAAAATTTAACTATTTCAAAAACTTAACGAACCTAATTTAAAAAGGGAAATTTTGTAAAAAGCTTTATAGAGTTTCCCCCTCCCGTTTTAAGGGGGGTCATGATTAGAACAAGTGCAAATTTTTAAAACCATAGCAAGGACTATGAAAAAATTTTTAAAATCAAAACTTTTAAAGTAAATTTTAAGTCGAAAAAGGGGCATAATTCTGTCAAAATGCTTGATAGAGTTACCTCCTCCTGTTTACAGGTTGGGGTCATGATGGTGAACAAGTGTGTAAAGTTTCAAAGCCATATGTCAATGGACTTTGAAAATATTTGAACTATTACAAAAACTTTAACGTAAATTCTAAGTCGAAAAAGGGGCATAATTCTGTCAAAATGCTTGATAGAGTTACCTCCTCCTGTCTACAGGTTGGGGTCATGATGGTGAACAAGTGTGCAAAGTTTTAAAGCCATATGTCTATGGACTTTGAAAATATTTGAACTATTACAAAAACTTTAACATAAGTGGTTACGCCGACGCCGACGCTCGGGTGACTGCAATAGCTCTACTTATTCTTATCGAATAGTCGAGCTAAAAATAAGAAATGCAGAGTACCAGTTTTTGTGCACTGCACTTTTTCTGCATGAGATTTATTATCCTATGAAGTTTCAAGTCAATAGCTTTTATAATTTATGAGAAATGGCCCTGACAAAAATAAAGTATAAAAATTAACAAAGGGCAATAACTCAAAAAATAATAAGTGTACAGTACCAGTTCTTGTGCACTGCACTTCTTCTGAATGAGATTATAATCCTATGAAGTTTCAAGTCCATAGCTTTATAGTTTAGGAGAAATGGCCTGGACTATAAAAGTATGAAAATTAACCAAAGCGCAATAAAACTAAACAAAAACTGTCGGAGGACAGTAACGCTCGACTATTCGAAAAATTTGTCACAAGGGTGTTTCATTGAGTATAATAATGCTTACCTATATGAATACATAAAATTGTCCGAAAAGGTACAAACTCTTCAAGTTTCAATACATTCCCTTCAGTAGTTATGGAGATACAAGCTTACATGCAAAAACTTAACCAAGATTCATGAGTCGAAAAAGGGGCATAATTATGTTAAAAAGCAAATTAGAGTTATGGGACTTGTTGCCAATCATCTTAGATAATCACAGAGAACAAGTGTGTGAAGTTTCAATCCATTCCCTTCAGTAGTTATGGAAGAATACCAGCTTACATGCAAAAACTTAACCAAGAATTTCTAAGTCGAAAAAGGGGCATAATTATGTAAAAAAGCAAATCAGAGTTATGGACTTGTGCTAATCATCTTATATAATCACAGAGAAACAAGTGTGTGAAGTTTCAATCAATTCCCTTCAGTAGTTATGGAGATACCAGCTTACATACAAAAACTTAACCAAGAATTTCTAAGTCGAAAAAGGGGCATAATTATGAAAAAAGAGCAAAACCAGAGTTATGGACTTGTGCCAATCATCTTTAAATAATCACAGAGAACAAGTGTGTGAAGTTTCAATCCATTCCCTTCAGTAGTTAAGGAGATACCAGCTTACATACAAAAACTTAACCAAGAATTTCTAAGTCGAAAAAGGGGCATAATATGAAAAAAAGCAAATCAGAGTTATGGGACTTGTGCCAATCATCTTAAATAATCACAGAGAACAAGTGTGTGAAGTTTCAATCCATTCCCTTCAGTAGTTAAGGAGATACCAGCGCTTACATACAAAAACTTAACCAAGAAATTTCTAAGTCGAAAAAGGGCATAATTATGAAAAAAAGCAAATCAGAGTTATGGGACTTGTGCCAATCATCTTAGATAATTACAGAGAACAAGTGTGTGAAGTTTCAATCCATTCCCTTCAGTAGTTATAGAGATACCAGCTTACATACAAAAACTTAACCACAGGGACGCCGACGCCGACAAATGGGTGACTGCATTAGCTCGATTATTCTGCGAATAGTCGAGCTAAAAATTAAGAATTGCAGAGTACCAGTTCTTGTGAACTCTACTTTGGGCTTTTGAAAGAAACATGCATACCAAGTTTGGTGTCAATCCGACTTAAAGTGACTGAGTTATCCTACGAACAAGCCTTAGCAGTGTAAGAAATTAGGATTTGAATCGACTAGGCTGGTCGGACTACCAGATTGGAATATTCACTAGCCCAAAAGACATTTCACTAGCACGATTCATTTGTTCAAAACAGTTTTTTATATTGCCCTTTGAAAAACAGACAGCCTGTCGCGGCGTTACGGTAAAATTGGGTAGCCGGAGGAGAAAATTATATTAGGGCTATAGGGCTAACTAAATTCCATTGGCTAGGGACGCTGACACCGGAGCACGAATGACATATATTGTTAGGTTCTGCTCGCTTTTTAGGGGCACACAAAAACTACCTAATTATCAGCTAATTCCCAAAAAACCTAAATTCATTCGGAAGCTAATTAACAAAATAAGAAATTAATTAATCGTGTAATAAATTCAACACATTTTATGAATTAATTTGCAACCCATTGGGCGCTAAACAGACCAAACAACATGACCAATGCTTTCTGCAATATGTACTTATATTTGTTTCCACTGATATAGCATAAATTAATGGCAACTCCCCTTTAAATGGACTTAAGCCCCCAAAGCCTGCGGCAAGCGAAGCTTACGGTAACACGAGACCACTAGATAGTATTGTGAAACGTTTGTTGGAAGGCAAAATTGACAACATATCGCATACTTTAAATACAATATAACATAAAAGCCATGGTTTTCTGATTGAAAATGGATGCGTAGACTGGTGTCCTGCACTTCTTCATACGGGGAAGTCAAAGACCGGGCCCGCGAAGCGGGTCCGGGCTTTGGCTTGCCCGGCTATAGACTACACGTGTATATGTAAAAGAAAATCAAATAAAAAACAATTAAAAAATATATAGAATTCTATACCTATCAATGATTTTTTCAGTGTCAGTTCTAGTCGGGCGCCGCTATTTACAATGTAACTCAATGATAATAGGCGGGGTATTCCGATAACGGAACAAATCTCAACTTTTTGGATAAATGATAATCGTCGAGTGTTCCGAGTGAAAACGGAAGCGGTGCATGTAATACCGAATAACACCTTAAAAACGGAAAGAATGAAAGGAATTTTTAACGACTTCCCCGTTCATAGGCCTTGCCTAATTTCGTATAACGCGAAGCGGGTCCGGGCTTTGGCTTGCCCGGCTATAGACTACACGTGTATATTTAAGAAAATCAAATAAAAAACAATTAAAGAATAAATAGAATTCTATACCTATCAGTGCAATTTTCAGTGTCCGTTCTTTTTGGGCACAGCCATTTTCAATGTAACTCAATGATAATAGGCGGGGTATTCCGATAACGGAACAAATCTCAACTTTTCGGATAAATAATAAACGTCGAGTATTCCGAGTGAAAACGGAAGCGGTGCATGTAATACCGAATGACACCTTTAAAACGGAAAGAATGAAAGGATTTTTTTAACAATATGTGACAGCTGCTGATCAGCTTTTCATATATCCCATAAAGGGGACAATAGCTTCTTTAAGTCTATTTTTACCTTTTTATTTCTACTTTTATTTTATTTTGGTTCTAATTAATTAAGTAATTAACTTAGACCATGGATTTATCTAGGCCAACTCAGATCAGCATCTGTTACACAAACATTTCAACATTTTAAGTTTTATTATTATGATACTTGTACATGTTTTAGTTACACCCATATTTTCATGACTGAGTACATATCAGATGCTGCTACTGATATGTGCTCAAGCATCATACTGGAAATTAGGTTAACTATATTTAAATAAAATAAAATTGAATCATTTACTTTAATTTATTTTAAAAATTTAAATTTTTAAAAAATTCTAATCCTTTTTCTGATTTTAGGGTTGTGTACATAAATAGAACTCTTGTATGATGTAATTTTATGTGATGTTTGATTGTAATGTATATTTGCTTTTAATCATTTAATGCTTTCTTACCCATATTTATATGTGCTGATAAATCTTAACTGTTTTTACAGAGTCTTTCATAAATGTACATTGATCTTCTTAATACTTTTATATATTTTCTTTTATACAGATTGTTTGTTTGAATTGTTATAGGATAATAAGTTTTGTCGGAAAATAGCTTATATAGCTAATGTTTATATGTTTTTATGAAACCGACTTTAAATAAAGATTATCTTATCTTATCTTATCTTAACGACTTCCCCGTTCATAGGCTTTGCCTAATTTCATATTAGGAACTATAATCGGACTGGGAACCAGAATAAACGAAAGCAGTGTGTTGAATACTGAATGACAGTTTTAAAACAGAAATGAACGATTATTTTATACTATTTCACAGTAAAAATAAATCGAGCTCGCTTTGAGGCTTTGCCTTTTTCATATTAGGCTTTGTCTAATTTCATATCCTTTTTTTTCTAAGTTAGCTTTGAGGCTTTGTCTTATTAATATGACCAGATTTCTATCTTCTTTTTCTATCTATAAAAAATTTCATTTTGTGACCATGGGGGCCGCCATCTTGAAAATATGCCGGCTGTCAAAATAAACCAGTTATTTCATCATATAGACAAACTAACAGCTTTACAATTTTGACTGCTGTCATTTCTTAACTTTTATAGAACTACATGCACATATTTAAATAACTTTACTATTCCGTTATCACTAGTAAAAATTAAAAGAAACATCCTTTACCTTCGAATGCAGTCATTTTTGCTGACAGTTCAGTTGCAACAAGGCGAATATTCGAATCACTAAATTTATTTAAATACGACGATAAGCATAGATTTTAGGTAGGGAAATAATAATGAATGGAATTAAGTATTTAAAAAATAATAATAAATAAAAATTGAGCAGATTTGTTTAAAAATTCAAACAAATCATTTGGTGAAAAAAAAGCTAGGAACAATTTCGGAAAGGTGAAGGTCACCATTATGTGTGTAGGGCAATTTGAAGTTAGTTGCGTAATTTCAACTTGTTAGCAAGCATTAATCCAGTGTTGTCATTGAAGTGTAAGAAGCAAAATGAGTGGAGCAGCAACAACATCAGTGTTCATGGTAAATATAAATATCTTCCAATTATTTTTTGTCTTAAAACAAAGTGATGATTTCATCAAAATTATGATCTGCCAGTTCAGTTGGAGCTGTCACACTAGGGCGGCGTTCTCACGGCGTTCAAAGAAAAGTGAGAACGGCGAGATGAACGCAGTAATCTCGCATGCATCACCGCAGCATCTCAGTGGCATGGCATAGAACGCCGTCACTCGACGTTTTGCAGTGTTCTATTTTCTAATAACAGGGCAGTAGGATCGTAGTAAGGACGCCCTAGTCACTTAGTAGCATCTCCTACAACGCAACTGGAAAACTGTGAAAGCAAAATCATTGCCGAATTAACACCGTGGTTAACCACGGTGCTGGTAAGGAGATTGTGCGGCGTCTCTGCAACACTTTTACTGAACTTTACGGAGCTTTACAATATCAGCGCAGTCTGAGTGCCACAAGAGCGCCATGAAAGTGCAAAGAACGAGGAAGAAGCGCAGTCTGAAGGCAGACAATCACTAATTAAAATGTCATAAAAAGGCATTACAACTGCACTGTGGAAGCTTTCTGGCAATGCCATGATTGCCATGAGGTCGCCTTGAAGACCCATACATGTGAACTTTTTTAAATGATCAAGTGGGAGATTTTTCTTCAAAAAGAGGGAGATTTTTCTTCAAAAAGAGGAAGATTTTAGAACTTGCAATAAGAAGAAAGTTCTGACATTAAAAAGAGGAAAATTTCTTTAATTTTTGAAAATACCCTTTATTTGAAAATATGGCTGCAGAAAGTGGAAGTCTTTCGCTAAAAGTGGGAGAGTTCACATGTATATATGAAGACCCGTGAAATCTCCATGTCATCAAAAATTCAGATTTTTCTTGCCATCTCGCGGCGCTTTGTTCAATTAAACAATGCCCTGCAAATGCAGTGAAACTTTTTAGTGTGACAAGGCCGTAAGTCATTAAGAATGTCATAGTATACAACTGTTTAGGGGAGGAAATATCTAATATATCATGCGTCTCAATCAAGAAAGCCTTGTATTCCGGGGGTCCTGCTTCGAGGACCGTCAGACTGCACTTTTCTTCCACCATGCTCTCCCTGTGAAATTGGATGCACAATGTATAGAAACAGATGGGAATTCTGTAGTATATTGTAATAAAACAGACTCACACTGAATGTCATTGACAAAGACGCATGCTTTTTGCATCTCCTGGATTAGACCCCTATATCAATATTTGAGCCGTGTCATGACAACACGAACATAGTGTGTTTGCAACCAGCAGTGATCCAGACCAGCCTGCGCTTCCGCGCAGTCTGATCAGGATCCATGCTGTTCCCTTACCAACCCTATTACAAGTAGAGAAACTGATAGCGAACAGCTGGTCGCAAACACACTATGTTGGTTTTGTCGTGGCGCGGCTCATTTATATAAGCAAGAGTTAAATATTAGCCTAACTGAATTTTTTATTGAGATAGGAAACAATTTGCACAACAAAATTTTAAACATATGTCAATCTTTTACAACATGGTAATGGTAAGCTTTTGTCATCACTCACCATCCGTCATACGGCTTCCATTTGTCTGTCACTTCTTTGAATGAGTCATCTCCTCCCAAACCACTACAGTAGGAAAAACTTTTCCATAGGGAATATATAATTCAATACTGGCCCAAAACCAAAAAATTAGATAAAAAAGGGTGTGATAAAGTATATTCTTGTTTGAATTTCAGAAGCAGCTAAAAGAGATGGTATTAATATGTGGGTCTGGAATTACCTTGTTTGCTGGCTACTCTATTTACGAAGGTAATGAGAAATTTTACCGCCAGTTTGTGATGCCTACAGTACGACTACTTGATCCAGAGACAACACATAACTTTGCTTTGTTTATGGCGAAAAATAAACTGGTGCCAAGACCAAAGAAACCTGATCCACCCTCCTTGGTAGGTTGATTATCTATAATAAGTGTTTAAAATACCCATAGAATAGATCTCATTAAGTCAGTAACTTTGGTAGTAGCTTTTTGTTTCCTCTGACCTCATGTCCTGAAAATTTGAATATATTTCATAGGTATTGAAAATAATTATGTTTTCTTTGTTGTTTTTTTTGTTGTTTTTAGCTCGACTATTCGAAGAATATGAGAGCTATTGTAGTCGCCCCGGCGTCGGCGTCAGCGTCCGCGTCCGCGTCTGCGTTGGTTAAAGTTTTTTGTAAAGTCAAATATCTCAATTATTACTTGAGATATTCAATTGAAACTTACAATACTTATTTATAGTAACAAGGTACATCAGATAGACAAGTTTGATAACTCTGCCTACAATATTGACAGAATTATGCCCCTTTTTAACTTAGAAATTTTGGTTAAAGTTTTTTGTAAAGTCAAATACAGTCGAGACTGTCATATGTGACTTTCCAAGGGATCTTCAGAAAAAGGTCACATATGACAGGGAGTCTCTAAATACAGTCTCAAAGAAAATTAAATTTAAATATCATCTATCTGTCTATATACCAATGTGACTTGCAGATCCTGTATGTTTTGTTATTGATATTGTTACTGTGTTTATGTATCTTGCAAAAAAATATATATGGATATAATAATGCAAATAAAACAATTTTCAAACATCAAAGAATATGTAAAATGTGTACTGCAAATATTTGTTCACATTATATTTAATCAATAAATTACATGCATTGATTTCTTATTGGAAAATTTGACTTAGAATTTATAGAAAATAAAGTTCTAATTACCTCCCTTTAATAGCCTTTATTTACATGAAATGTTAAATTGGGTGATATCTTTATAAATAATGCTTATTTGAACTTACAATATTGACAAATCTTAATTTGAGCATCATATTTATGAAATAAAACCATGAAAAAATAGTGTTACAGGATCTTTAAACAATTGTCCATATCCAAAGCTTTTTTCTGGTTCGGTATCAATATTTTTTCCGTATTAATTATGCAGCCATAGAAAGGTAAATTAAAAAAAAGCTGCCTAAAAAATCTTCCGTGGGCACTCTATAATTAAAAAAAAAATCTAACACAAGTACTCAGGCCATTTTGTACATTACACACACATCGATTACATCATGCTTTCCATGAACAGACGCTACGTCACTTGGTACCTGCATGTATCTACTGGTATATACACGCTAATTGTGTAATTGAGATAGAGGTGTGTAGACTTTGTTTGCTACAGTGCTGGATTATAATTCGACTTAATTATTTTGGCCCTCTGGGTGTTAAAATAGGTATTCTTTATCTGATTAACGGATAATTAAAAGGTGTGAAAGTCGTTTAAATCAGACAAAACATTGCATTGGGACCAGACAATTAAGGTCGCTTGTCACATATGACAGGGAGTCGTTTAATTCAGACCATTTATATAGGAAAATACGTTGGGAGTACTGAAACAAGGTCGGATAAGACAGGGAGTCGTTTAAACCAGGGGGTCGCTAAGGCAGTCTCGACTGTATCTCAATTATTGCTTGAGATATTCAATTGAAACTTACAATACTTATTTATAGTAACAAGGTACATCAGATTGACAAGTTGGATAACTCTGCCTACAATATTGACAGAATTATGCCCCTTTTTAACTTAGAAATTTTGATTAAAGTTTTTTGTAAAGTCAAATATCTCAATTATTGCTTGAGATATTCATTTGAAACTAACAATACTTATTTATAGTAACAAGGTACATCAGATTGACAAGTTGGATAACTCTGCCTACAATATTGACAGAATTTTGCCCCTTTGGAACTTAGAAATTTTGGTTAAAGTTTTTTTTGTAAAGTCAAATATCTCAATTATTGCTTGAGATATTCAATTGAAAATTAAAATACTTTTTTATAGTTACAATGTACATCAGTTTGCAAAATTGCATAACTCTGCAATACTGTTTAATTAGACTCTCTCTAAGGCCTATAACAAGAATTTATAAAAAAAATTAGCCCTTTTGTAAACTTAAAAAATTTAACATTGTCAATGCTCTTTTACTATCAAGCAGTAGCACTTAGAATAGTCGAGCGTGCTGTCCTACAGACAGCTCTTGTTTTTTTTGCCTTCACTCTATAGAAGCATGTATTTTTGGTTTGAATCATCATTCAAATAAAAAGCCAAAAAAGGCTCGTTTTAAATTTTCTGATTATAAGACATAAGTTCTTTTGCATGAAATTCTGTCAAAAAGTAAACTGCATCAAAAACGACAAATTTATGAGATTAGAATACAGACTTATGATAGCATGTTCTAAGAGAGTTGCATAAATAATTGTCAGATTGGTCAGAAATCTTCCTCATAAAGCTGTCATGATATTCTCCGGTTTAAAGCCTAATAGAAACCATGGAAATTACTCATACAATGTAGCTTATTATTCTGTTTGAATGATATGGAGTATTGATCATTCACCCAAGTTTAACCTTTATGCCCCTACAGTTTTACAATGAGTTTGAATGCATTGAATTCTAATTGGCCAATGCTTAGTAAATATGTTTTGAAGATTAAAATAGGTAAATTAAGGAGTGTGAAGGCATGTTGGATTGCCAGACTTTTCTTTTTTGACTCTGGGCTTTTGATAATTACCCTGATTACAGTTAACATGTTAATGATTATAGTTTATACTAATTCTCCTAATTTGTAGCACACCAAAGTTTGGGACAGAGAGTTTCCAAACCCAGTGGGTGTAGCTGCAGGGTTTGACAAGGATGCTGTTGCTGTGGACGGTATGTTGTGTACAGGATTTGGCTTTGTAGAGGTTGGGAGTGTAACTCCTGAACCACAACCTGGGAACCCCAAACCACGTCTGTTTCGTCTGTGGGAAGATAAAGCTGTTATAAATAGGTTTGAAAATTCAAATATGTAAATTATATGATTATTCCTTTATTATAAAGTCTGTTTTCATCAAAACTTTAAAGCAGCACGCCTCCAGATTAATGCTAAATTTTATGAAAATGTATTTTAAAGTAAAATATTGTGAAGTAGACAAATATAGTAATTTACCCATTGCAATTGGTACCTATAATCCACGTAAATTACGAAAAACAGGTTAAAATATGCAAAAATAGCCCTTACTGCAAAATATGGTGATAAATACTGCAAAAGCAGTCTTTAATCACATATAACATGTAGATTATTACTTGAATCTGGAATCGTTTTACTTTTCTTAAAATCCTAGTACATTTTTCTCAAGTATTTTCTTGAAATATTTAAGCTAATCTGGAGGCCTGCAACTAAGAATAATGTTTTCAAATGGTTATAAGATTCTAGTTTGTTTACGAGTGAGCAGATAATAATATTTTTAACTGCAAGATAAAATGAAATAACTGAAAAATTAAACATTATAGTATTAAAATAAAATGATGTTAAATTTTTTAGCTTTAATGTCTACCTACACAAAATATGAGGTAGGGCAAATCAGTAAAAGACTTTCATCATTTAATGTATATAATGGACCTGCTCAAAATTAATATGATAATAACTCTTTGAAAAAGGTTAATTGTTGACTGCCATATTTTTTTCCTATTTTAAAGAAAATATAAAAAAAAATCAGACAATATGATGCTTACCTTCAGCCATGTTACAATTTATTAATACAATGTTACAAGTAAATAATTATGATCTTGAAAGCTTGGAAAACAATATGCAGTCTGTTAAAAAAAAAAGTTACAAATTAAGAAATATCCAATATTGTAATATAATATGATCTCAATATATATACTGCATATTTCATAACTTATGTACACAATTATTTTTCTCTGACAGGTTTGGATTTAATAGTGAAGGCCATGCAGTAGTTAGAGAAAGATTGATACACCGGAACTCTGGTCAACATTTTGATGGTATTAACTGTTTCTTTATTTTGTAAGCTAACTCAGACAAACAAGTGTTTAAGGCTTTTCTCAATAAAGCCCATATAATTGAATTATTTAGAGAAAAGAAGTGGCAACCCAAGGAGTGGGATGAGTGTTTGCTGTCTCATAAGTTGATTTGATATGATTCAGTGAAAATTGCCTATTGCTAAAAAACAAACAAAACTTTTCTTTTTTTTTTCAAAAAAACAAACTTGTACGGATAAATTTCAAAAACAATCAACATGAAGAATGGCTAAGTAGATCATCTGTAACTTAGACACACCTTTTATAAAAGCCACACAAAACATAACTCTTCTTTCTTTTTGTTTTTAATTTTGTTTTATACACAAAAACATAGATCTATCATGATTTATCATTGAACACAAAACATAGACTTAAGAAAAAAAAAATGAGTTCTTTGTGATTAAACAAGTGTCAGAAAAAATGTCTGGTAGTTGTCATAGCTGTGGGTAAATGGTCTTTTGAACAAGTTTTGTACATTGTATATGATAAATAACTACTTTATTCTGATATATGCTCTAAAAATACTACATTTAAAGAAAAGGGAGAACTACTGTTCTTACCCCAGTGTCAGTATCAGTGTGACCGCCACAGTTTGGTAAAGTTTTTGCATGTAAGTTGGTATCCCCAAAACTGCTGAAAGGAATAGGTAGAAACTTCACAATCTTGTTCACTGTGATTATCTTATTTGATGAGCACAGGTCCCTTAACTCTGCATTGTGTTTTACAGAGTTATGCCCATTTTCTTACTGTCAATCACTCAGAATCGTTGAGCTTGCCATCTTGTGTTGTCCTTGAGTTAGAAGTTTAAGATATTTTCAATTCTTGGAAGTTTTAAATTTCATATTTTTTTTTCTGCTAGATGAGGGTTACATTCCTTACATTTCTGAAGAACGCAATATGTTAAATATTAATTTGTGGACGGACACATCATGTTGTGAATTACCGTCTGATGATGTAGATCAAAGTAAGGTAACAGTTCTTGTTACTGCCTCTTGCTTTAGTTCTCTTGTTTCTTATATATACTTATATAATATTTGAGCCATGTCATGACAAAACCAACATAGTGGGTTTGCGACCAGCATGGATCCAGACCAGCCTGCGCATCCGCGCAGTCTGATCAGGATCCATGCTGTTCCCTATCAGTTTTTCTACTTGTAATAGGGTTTGTAAGCGAACAGCATGGATCCTGATCAGACTGCGCGGATGCGCAGGCTGGTCTGGATCCATGCTGGTCGCAAACCCATTATGTTGTTTTTTTCATGACGCGGCTCATATATGCTTATATTTATGTATAACTTTATCAAGGATGGGTAGAGAAATTGGTGTAGAGCTGTTTGTATCTGCTTTTTTAAATACTGCCAGATAGGCTTAAAGTGTTTTACACCAAGCTCTTGATTTATTTGTTTTGAGTGAATAAATGGAATATATTTCACTGCAAAATGAGATTGTTAAGTTATTTTTCTGACTTCATAGCAGCATTGTATTACAAAATATGTTTATTTCAATTAGAGGTTTACTACTTATTTGAAACACTATTTAATCTTATGGTATAACATCAAATTTTCATAGTATTAAATAAAATGTATGACTTAGTGATATTTATTATATTTAACTTATAAAATCATTTGTGACAGAAAAGCATTAAATTAATTGTACGCAACTGCTTGTGTCCTTCTAACATAAGATATTTGTAATATATATGTATACACATATATCAGAAATTATCAGGAATTATATAATATTAACACTAGAAATTAAAGCTACTAATGCCCACTTTTTGTTTGTTTTGATGCACTATTAATTTTCTTGGTAAACCTGCGATGATCAGTTGTTGAAAGGGGCAAAAGTTCTATCAGAATTGTAAACAAATCGATTTAAAAAAGAAATATTGCATTTTATCTGGATCTAAATTTAAAATGATCATTTATGAAGCAAACAAAAGGGTGTTTTCTTGGGGGGGGGGGGGGTCCAGGCTTTTTATTGAAAGTAGATGTTCTTTATCTGACATGATATTTCAAAATTATTATGTATTGAATTAATTCTACAACTTTGATCATGTTATAACTTCCTATAGATAATTGGCTTTCTGCAGTTTGTTCTGCCAAGTGCATGCTGTAGTTACACAGACAAACAGGAATTAGAAAATTTACAAAAAAGGAGGCTTAATAAGTAATTTAATTATTAAAACATTCAGTTAACATAAATCTGCAAAAAAAGTGCTCAAAAGATTTGTATTACCTATGAAACTTTTTAAATTGCAGAGTGTGATTAATAATATCTGTCATATGTTGCGGTTCGGACCGGAATATCCGTCCCGAGGGGACCCGCCCATGGGCGGGTTCCCGAGGGACGGATATTCCGATCCGAACCGCAAACATATGTTAGATATTTTTTCTTGCATATTCTGCCATATTATTTCATATCTAAAATGGTTTACCTCAATATGATATATGTTCATGGAAATTAAAGTCATTTCATCCATAACTATTTTCTTACAATAGCGTATGAACTTACAACTTAAATAACAACGGCGAACTGACGTCATCCTTAGCACATATTTCCCTTCTAAAACGACGTCATTTTAACGCGGTTCATTCATAAAGCGCGCAAAAATGACGTTGTTGTTTGGCACGCGACTCATCTGGCACCCCCCATGCCAGATGAAATTTCCGGCATGGGTAAAACTCACGGAAACGCCAGTCTGATATGCAAGAAATTTGTTTCTAAACAAATTCACAATCATGAATCTTTAATGAATATACATAAATGTATATTTATAGTGTATGATTGAATTTGTTGAAGTCTGTGTATTGCTTGATTTAGTGTTTTGTCGTTTTGGTGTTCTTCCAGTTATTATGTTTTGTTGTTCAATTTATTTGTTTCAAAGTTTGCAAGAAATTTTAAAATTATATTATTTTTTTTTTAAAAAAGCTGTCTTTAAACTTAGAAATTTAAACTTAGGAATGAATCACTTGTAGGTTCTCGAAATAATTATATTAAAGATATTTAGTTAAGATCATGTTAATTTTGTCGAATGGTTGATGACATCATAGTAAACTGATAATAAATTACTTTATGTTCTAACATTAATTTATGAATTTGACATATAATTATTGTTTGGCTTAACTGTTTGAAGACTAGTGGTGTAGATGCTGTAAAATTATTGTGGTCATTAAAATGTTCTTCTCATTTTGTCAAATTTCAACAAATGTTTGTGTATTCTAATGTCACAAAACATTGAAACTGGTTTATATTGTTAGTGTATGCATTTTTACTGGCAACAAAAAAACAACACCATAACAAATGAGCCGCCTCATGACAAAACCAACATAATGGTTTTGCGACCAGCATGGATCCAGACCAGCCTGCGCATCCGCGCAGTCTGATCAGGATCCATGCTGTTCGCTATCAGGTTCTCTACTTGTAATAGAGTTTGTGAGCGAACAGCATGGATCTTAATCAGACTGCGCGGATGCCGGGCTGGTCTGGATCCATGCTGGTCGCAAACCCACTATGTTGGTTTTGTCATGACGCGGCTCAAATGATATCATTCTCTTGAGTTGATGACCATATCACAGTGTTAATCCAAATACATTCCTGTCTTGTACTATTGCAGAATTCGCACTTGTATAAAACTGTGAATAGTTTGAATTCAAAATCAACACAAGAAATTTTTTAAAGTATTTGATTTCGCTTTCTAATAGAAATTTGTTTATTATTTATTTTTACAGATAAAAAGTCAGGAATCATAGGAATAAATTTGGGTAAAAATAAAACATCGGACAGTCCTGTAGGTGACTATGTGAAAGGTGTAGAAAGATTTGGTGCTCTAGCAGACTATTTAGTGATTAATGTATCTAGTCCAAACACTCCTGGTTTAAGAAGTATGCAGGGGAAACAACAACTGGAGGAACTTGTAGAAAAGGTTTGTACAATGTATTATAAAACTTGATGTAAATGTTAAATTTAGTTAATAACTGCATATAAAACCAGTAAAAAGTCTGCAATAGGGCAAATCTGTGCTGCCTGCAAGTTTGTAGAGTAAAAACCACTGTATAATTATCAGAGTATCTGTACAATAATTTTGTCAAAAATATTAACATAAATTTAAATTTTCATGTTTTGCAACATATACATTTTTTTGTACAATAACTGTGTTGCAGTTAACCTCCTGTCATTTGCAAAGCCCTACCTAGATGCACCAGACATAATATGCACCCCTTATCCCATAGTTAAATACAGGTTTCCTCCAACTACCAAATACTCCTCCTTTTCCCATATCAATGTACATTGGAATAAACTCCCCGGCACTATTACCTAGTCAGTTCAAGGGGCAGTAGTAGGTTTGCAGTATAAGACTGGCTCCCAGTGTTTAAACTACTTTATCGTTTAACTTTTCCTCTCACTACGGTATTTAGGAAATAATATATCCCAAACTGTGATTTTATCGCTCAATAAAATCACTGTTTGGAGTTCGGATGTGAGGAATTATCTCAAAAGGGCGTAGCCCGAGTGATATGTTGCGCATCTGAACGACAAACAGTGATTTTATCAAGTGATAAAATCACTGATTTGGATATAATATTTCGATTCTAACACGACATTAACAAATAAATGCTGCCATACCTGATATTAAGCTAAATTGCGCCTGATTTGTTTCCGTACTTATTTCAGCTCATCGCATTTTAGTGGTTACGTCACATGTATATAATGATTATGTCACATGTCCAAATAAACAACATCAACAGTTCAAAATGGAAAAATGCGGGTCATTTTAGAATAACATTTTAATATGACTAGAATACTTTTCCAGTGTCACCTTTCCTGACATGTTTACAATTTCTGGACTTACTTTACCCTCATCTTTTAATAGCAATCCAACATGCACTTATTTCCTGTCTACAAAAGTCCCAAGACAGGTTGGCAGTATTCAGACATGTATATAGAAAATTTATTTCAAGCAATTGTCAAATATTGTTATCTTTTTAGCGATTTTAGTAAACATAAATATATGTACTTAATCACATTACAAAATAAATCCGGATTTTTTTTAATTACTACCTTTTATCTTAAAAAAGTTTTCTGTGACATGCTTTATATGTATTCTTCAGGTGTGGAAAGAAAGAGAAAATATAGAATCAAAGAGAAAACCACCATTATTAGTAAAAATAGCACCAGATTTAACAGATCAGGATAAAAAAGATATTACGGATGTTGTATTAAAGACACCAGTGAGTTTTCATTTATGTTTCTTAATTTATCTATGTAATTTGTCTATTTAAAGAGGATAACTCTTTTTCGATTGCTAAATTGATACTATACTTGAATTCTGGAACTACTAAGATTCCCGTTTGATCCTGAAATAGTGCATGGAGCGGCTTTTGCAGTCTTTTGCCACCAGTAAAGCTGGAAAATCACCTCTGTGTTGGTGTGACGGGCAAAAAAAATACACCAAAAAAATCAATTGGTTTTGATTGTAACAAACAGCTTTGAAATATGCATGTGCATTACAATGTGTTCAAGGGGAAAAAATGTGCATTGCTGGGACGAATATATGGTTTAATTGTAAGAAACACATGAAAATGTCGACGTTGTGAAAAACGCAAAATATTGTATCCGCGAACATTTCTAGGAATACAGTATATACATGTATATTACAAACACAATTCCGATATATTCATGTACATTACCGGGCAGAATGGATGGTTTAATTAAAACAAACACCATTTTGATATATACATGTACATTTCAGGGCAGAATAGATAATTAAATTGAAACAAACACATTTCTGATATATGCATGTACATTACAGGGCAGAAAAAAATACTTAAATTGAAACAATCAACATTTTGATATATACATGTACATTACAGGGCAGAATAGATAGTTAAATTGAAACAAACACAAGTCTGATATATGCATGTACATTACAGGGCAGAAAAAAATACTTAAATTGAAACAAACACAATTTTGATATATACATGTACATTTCAGGGCAGAATAGATAGTTAAATTGAAACAAACACAATTCTGATATATACATGTACATTATAGGGCAGAATAGATAGTTAAATTGAAACAAACACAATTCTGATATATACATGTACATTTCAGGACAGAATAGATAGTTAAATTGAAACAAACACAATTCTGATATGTACATTACAGGGCAGAATAGATAGTTAAATTGAAACAAACACAATTCTGATATGTACATTACAGGGCAGAATAGATAGTTAAATTGAAACAAACACAATTTTGATATATACATGTACATTACAGGGCAGAATAGATAGTTAAATTGAAACAAACACAATTCTGATATATACATGTACATTTCAGGGCAGAATAGATAGTTAAATTGAAACAAACACAATTCTGATATATGCATGTACATTACAGGGCAGAATAGATAGTTAAATTGAAACAAACACAATTCTGATATGTACATTACAGGGCAGAATAGATAGTTAAATTGAAACAAACACAATTCTGATATATGCATGTACATTACAGGGCAGAATAGATAGTTAAATTGAAACAAACACAATTCTGATATGTACATTACAGGGCAGAATAGATGGTTTAATTGTAACAAATACCACAATTACACGGCCAGAAAGTTTAAAAAGTAAATATAAAGGGGAAACAGGAGGTTTGAGTGGGGAACCACTGAAATATTTGTCAACACAAACAGTTAAAGACATGTATAGATTAACACAAGGTAAGTTTATTTGTTTATTGTTTAATTAATTAATTAATTATTAAAGGAGCATGCCTCCAGATTCGTGCTTTTTAAAAATTTGAGCATTTATTTAAAAGGAAAATATTGTGAACATAGAAAGTAACTTAGTAACTTACATGTTGCAAAAGGTACTTACAGTCCATTTGAATTGAAACTTCTTACATTTATGGACTTGTGAGAGGTTAAGGTTTAAACTGTCAGTAATATCACATGTTTATAGAGTAGTTAGAGGAAGTGCAGTGTGAAAGAACCTCAACTCTATGTATTTAATTTTTAGAATATATAAGACAATAATGCCAGTCTGGGGAAGAACTTGAAAAGTATTTAACAAAATTTATTAACACATCACTGATAGTGATATAAAAGAGGTAGAGTACACTGTCCAAGAACTATAATGTTGCTATAATATAACCTTGCTTGAATTTTAATTATCTCCCTTTATTATACTTGAATTTTAATTATCTCCCTTTATAATACTTACATACTGTGCTCCTCTTAGTTCACGGTACTTAACACTTTAAAACAGTAAAGAACACAAACAATAAACTCACACTACAAAAACTGTCATAAACTGTATCATTTAGTCATTTTTCTGGTATATGTCAGACACAAGGAAACAACAATATATTTAATAAAAATTAGTTTTAATTTGTCAGATGTAGACCGTGTGTCGGCCATTTTGAAAACAGTATGTCATCATTTAACTCGCGGTAATGGTGTTTATTTCAGTTTTTTCATGTTTCAGTTAAAATTTCTTTATGTTATTTTGCATAATTTTTAATATTAAAAGTATCTTTACATTGTAACTCAAAATTTATTTTTTCAACAAACAAGAACATTTAGAAAATGATGATTGTTTCAGACGTATGCACAAATTTAATGGACTATTGTTGTTTTTTGCAGAAGTTTGTAAAATGTTGCTCAGTTTTACGTAAAAATCTATAGATTTAAATTATTTTGCACAAAAACTTTGTTGTTTAGGTGTTTGAATAAAATATGTTAATTCTAACCAATTTTAAAACTGGTCACATGAAAATATGCCATTACCGCGAGATAAGTGATGACGCGGAATTAGTGATGTTGAGTATAATACTTAACACTTTCACTTATATTAAGCCTTTATTCAATGATGTTTTTCATATTTGGTAAGACCAAACCTTTGGTTGGGTGTAGAAGGTAGTCACTTGGCTCAAAGTCAAGGGTGCTAAAATTGATTTTTACACTTAACTCTTCTTCCATCTTTTGTGTTATGACTAATGCTGGCTGATCATGTTCTCTTTTAGGTTTGTACTAATTTCAAACTTTTTGAAAAAAAATGATGAATGGTTTTGTCCAGATTGAAAGAAGGAAGTATAATCTAGTTAGAGATATAAGACAGAACATTTTGTGTTAATGCTACATATAAAAATAGAAGAAATCCACTGTGGCTCAAAAACCTATAAACATAAAAATTTGAATTACTTATAAAGATCAACCTACTAGGGCATATCAAGCAGAAAGATGATAAAGAAGCATACTCAGAAAAAAATGAAAAAACATACTTTTGTGCTATTCTTGACCCGATTTGAATGGAGCACTTTTCGTTTTTTGGTAATTTTTCACAAGTAGACCAATTGTTCTTGAAAAATGGATTTAGCGAGATCAATTAAATCTCAAGAAATTCTTTCCAGCCACATCATGTCGAAAAACTAAAATGGAGTCTCTTCAATGAGCACAATACACGTGTTCATGTAAATTGTAAAAAGGCAAGGATGTAGATGGATAGGTTGATTAATTAATACCATATATTCTCTAGTAACACCCCCTCTCCGCTCCCTTTTTTTATTGAGAACAAGAAAACAGACTTTTGCAGACAACAGCAATTTTCACACACACATATATAATAATGCAGAGGAAAAATAGTAAAAAAAAAAAATTTTGACCCAGCTTAACATTTTTTGTTTATTCTTTAAACAAAGCTGCCATTTGGAAAATGTAAGGCACTATGGGCATTTATTAGATAATGTACAGTAATATCATACAGCCCTTCCAGGAAATTAATTTTTATAACAAAAAGACTGTTATTCCGTTGAAGAATTGTCATTCAAAATGAAATGTTTTTTTTTTTTTGCTTAGTAGTGCTGATTTTGAATGCCGCAATCATCTGTCTTGTATGCAAAGTCAATGTTAAAGTAACTGTTGTTCAAATTAATTCTTATTAGAAGTGTAACTGTGTTAAAATTTAAAACATTTGAATATTTACAAGATAGTTCCGTATATCCATGATTTTTTCATCTTATAGTTGTTAATGTGGTAATCAGAAGGCATTGTGATCATACTTGTTTGGAGTCTCTACCTATATATATATACATGTATATATGTATATTATATCCACTATACTTAAAGCAATGGTACATAAATTATGTTAATATTGTGATTATTATTCACTATACAATCAAATAGTTATTAGTTTTTTTTCACACTGCCACTTTCACTATCAGTAGCTCTGTACACACAGTTGTTTTAATCATTGCTGTGTATACTCTTAATTTAATTAAGATGATCTGGTGGCGGTGGTGGTGGGCGTGCTGCTGATCTAGTTTGTGCACCCACCATTCCAAGTCTTGTAAAATCTCGTTGCTGTACTCCCATGTGGCCTCCTCTAGGCTCTTGGTTTTGTCTAGGTATAAACTGCATTTCTGGCCTGATGTTTTCACCTTCATTTGTATTCCGAAGAGATCCTGGAGGAGTGCGACTTCCATGTGCATTTCCCATGATTTTTTTATGATAAACAGTTGTAACGTATGTCTCATTAAATTAAGAATAACAAGTATTCACAAACACTAGTTGTAGACAACAAAAAAAGTGTCAGTCATATAAGTGGTTACTGAAAATGATTTAAGTGTCAGATATCAGTTCATACTAGGATGAATGTGCAAAGGAGTAATGTTTCTGCCCTAGGGCCACTGTTCATTAATTTTTTGTTTCTCAGACGCTAATGTTTGGCAAATAAAAGATCAAAAATTTGAAGAGTAAACAAATTTTTAAGGCCATAATTTCTATAATCCCATCAAATTTAGTGGTGCTCTGTGCAGGGCTCTTGCATTTTGAGCGACTTGAGAGTCTAAACTTTGTTGAGTTTGATTGTAAATTAGTGAAAAGATCGCCATATTTTTGTACTTACCACATACATGTACATGTATGTTTAATTTAATCCTACTTAAATACGCAGTCACTGACAATTTGAAACAAGATCATAATTTTATTACTACTATTTGACTGCAAAATAACGCATAAGTCACATACTATCCAGTTCCTTTGGACATATGTACCCCCTGTAATTTGCCAATCCCTTCCCTTACTTTTCATAAAGAAAATCTGAGAAACATAAAATAATAAAAGAAACAGTGGCCTAGGATGATAACTTTAGTCTTTGTTTACATAACGAAGATTAATGACGATGCAAAAGATAGGCAATGCAGACTGTGGACCTATTACAAATAAAGCACGATGTAAAACATCATGTTATCATTTGCCTTGCAAAGCGAGTCTGTCAGTTTTGTGTTCATACATTAGAAATGCATGAGATAGAATACTTTTTTACACAGGTTGATATGCACTAGTGTCATATGTTTTGGGTAAATGCCAAACATCTAGAGAAAGTGATACAAAAATGACAATATGTAATAAATATAATGGAAAAAAAACTGTGTTATATATTCCTCCATGTATACAAATTATCAATTTTTCATAATCACAGTATGTTTGAAATATGATAAGATAAGTTTCACACAATAAGACTTAAATGTGTTTTCCTATAATCAAGTGACCCTGAGATAGGCCAGCTTTGACCCCAGGGGCATGATTAAAAAATATCAGTTTTGCAGACATTCACAAAGTAATGCTACATGCTATATATCTTTACTCTTGGCATTGTATTTTCACTAAATAAGACTGAATGTGTTTTCTCATGCAAGAGTCTATCAACTAAGTGAACCCCAGATGCAGGGCCAACGTTGACCCTAGAAACATGATTATTACCAGTTTTGTAGTGGCCAACAAGGCAATGCTACATGTAAGGCCCCCACGATTACACGTTTAAACGGATTCGTTTCGATTTTCATTCATAAACGTTTACGATATTGTTTACCGTTTAATCGAAATGACCATATTGTCTTACAAAATTTCTTAATCATTGCCTGTAATCATGGATTTTATCAATTCTAGTTGTTTATTCCAAAGTAAACAAACGGAAAATATGTGTTTACAACCCTCCACACAGCATTACGGTGCAAAATTGCTCGTGACATAATACATTTTTGTTAAAAAATGGGGTTACAATGCAGAAAGTGTGTGCTGACTCAATCGTGATTAGCCCTGAACATTCTTTATTTGTACATGTGTAAAAAATAGAAAGAAAAACATCATTTGGCTACTCAAATACATGGTGTGCATAGTACATAGAGGTACCACCGTTTAAACGGTATCGTTTCGGTTATTAGCAATCGTGTAAACGTTTACAAAAAATTGTAAACGTGGGAGCCTTAGCTACATGTCAAATATATTAACTCTAGGCAATAAAGTTTCTCCAAAATAAGAATTAATTGTGTTTTCCTTAACAAAATATATTAACTAAGTGATCCCCGGGACAGGGCCAATATTGTTCCAAGGGGCATGATAAATACCATTTATTTTGTGGTCCACAAAGTAGTGTTACATGCCAAATATCTAAGCTCTGAGCATCATAGTTTCACATAATATTTTTCAAATGTGATTTTTGCCTCAGGCATAATTATAGTAATTGAATCTTCTGTTCGTATGAGGTTAACGTAAAACGGCAAGTTGTGTTTATCTTAGTTCTACCTGTACCAATGTCTTCATAATTTATAAACTTTCTAATCAATACAAAGTATATGATCTGGGTTAGGGGTCATTTGGGTCAAGGTCATCAATGTCAAAAATAGATTTTTACAGTTGCAACCTTATTCTATTGACATGTC